AAAGGTAGCTGTATTTTAGAAGACCTCAAGTAAAAGTGATTATTATTATTCATAAACAACATTACAACAATTATTATTTAAATTCATACTTTATATTTTTTTAATTATTTCTTTTTTTTGCTCTATTCTTTATTTTGATTTCTTAAGATTCATACAAGTTTTTCAAAAGTATTCCATTTTAAGGAAATGTATTTATTGAGATCTCCTTAAAAAACTGATATTAATTAACATTTATAGAGATTTAATGTTAAATGATACTACATTAAATTAATAATCCAAAAAAAGAACAGTAAGCTAAATGAAGAGATTAAAATAAAGATTGATTTTAATTACTTAATTGAAACCTAACTTAACAAAAAACTACATGATTATTTCATAAGATATTCTGATAATTTATTTAATTTATTACTATTTATAAACATAAGTCTTAATAGATATAATTAATAATTTTGTAAAATTAGTTTATTAATAGTAAACGATATATTTAATAACAAAGATAATAATCAAAAAGATATGACAAGAATGAAAAAAATAAAGTTAATCTTCTAAACTATATAATAAAGTTAAAACAATATGATATTGATTAATTTTAACATTACTCTCAATTCAAGATAATGTATCAATCGCCTGTTAATTGATAAGATATTAAAAAACTTTGAAAACATATTAAAAAATATTATATTTTTGTAATTATTAAGATTTAAGAAGACAATTATATCTTCTCTAACCGTATTATATATATGTATCTTAATTATTGATTAACTTGAGTTCAACGTGAAATTTTACATACATCAAATAATAAACAGTTATTATTCAATGTATAATCACTGTTGTCCCTTCACAAAATTAATTAATGTCTATTCAAAAATAATATCCCTTAAGTCTTTAAAAACTCATCAACTGGTTATATTTTACAATTAAATTCAGAAATTGCACCTAAATTGTAGAATTAAAAAGGAAATATTTATTGGTATTTGATAAACACAATGAACAATCTTAATAAAATTTATCTTCTCTAAAACAACCTCCTAAAATAAATTGGACAATAAATTATTTAAATATATAAAAAAGCATTCATATTAGCCACACTTAAATGCATGGGTATTCTTAAATTTCCAAAATAAGTATTTTACTAATAAAAATTTTTCAATAACATTGTTAAAATTTAAAGTTTATAAAATCAATTTAATAAAAAATAATATTATTACTGTTAATTAAATATGAGTTGACAAAAATATTATTTTGTGAATATTAGAATATAATGACTCTCAAGAAATACAAAGATTAGAAAACTTAGAAATGATAAATGGTGAAAGAATTAGTTGTAAAATCTATTTTATAAATCTTATACAATTCACATTCTAAATATAAATTGAAAGAAAAAGCTTGGTTATGATAAGAATAATACCAAAAAAACAGTATACAAAGATTTAAAATATTATTGCATTCATGCAACCTTAAATTTTTATTTCATATTATTTTATTAATGCTTCAAGATTGTTAAAAAAGATAAAAACTATAAAATAGAACTCTATCAACGAATATTGGACACAAGAAGTATATTAAAATAGATTTAAATTAAGGGTTAATATAGGTTAGTTTTTAAATTAATCAAGTGTTACTCCAATAATTCTCTTAAAAGGAAACGGTTTTTTATAAAAAACTCTCTTAAACCTTGAAAAATTGAAGTCTGGGTAAACCATATTATTAGATGTATCTAAATTTTAAATAATATTCTTTTACTGCAAAGGAGTGTTAAAAAAAGGATATCTTGTATTTTTAACCTAAATTTCTTTAAATCTATAATCTCAACAATACTTGTTTTTGATTTCCCATAGACGGATAGACTTATCACTACTACCAGAAGCTAATGTATTTCCATCAGGAGAGAAGCAGACTGACCAGACAGTACTAGTATGACCATCCAATTAATACAAATCGTTTATTTTTAATTATTGCCAGTTACATCCAAATAATTAAGCATTTAAATTAATTCCATTGATATTCACATTCTTAAATTAAGATTTAGATAAATTGCATTTAGCAAAATTACCCCCAAATAAATTAGTATTTTCAATTCTTATATTTTCAAAATTTAGCTTGTTTGATCCACCTTCATTTCAACCAATTTATTTAGTGCATTAGATCCACTTAGTATAAATTTATTATCTATCTTAGAAGTATGAACTCAGCATTTCATCTATAAAATTGGTTGTGCAATTTGCGAGGGCGGATTCATTTTTGACTTTTTGGTTGAAGAATGCTTATAATAATAGTCGTAAATTGAAACTTGTTTAAGATCATTTATCAATTTAGAAGGTATTGAAATTTGTACATTATCTTCTGAAACTGATTTTAGTATTGCAAATAATAAATTGTTAGAAATATTACTCTAATTGTTTATAATATGTCTTTTCTCTTAAATCAAAGTTATAATGTGTACTTTGTAATTTAGGATATGTTAGTTCAGTGATTACAGGGTATTGTATAAAAAGTTAAGATTCTTTTGAGTCGGAAGAAAATATTCAAGTAATTTAAGGAGACTTTTTGAGGCAGATGGATATGTTCAATTGCTTTAATTTTTACCTGATTAATAGTATTTTTCGTACACTCCAGAATTATTACATGAGTTTATAATTAAATGTAAAAATGGATATTAAGTAGCATCAATTCAATTATGTAAAAAATATTGTAGTAGCGATTGTTTAAATTGCTAAGATAATTTTAGTAATTTTATTTGTATGAAATGTCCTTTAAATTACTACAGAATCATACTTTTTTAAGTTAGATACTGAATGATTTTTTGAAATCTGAATGAATCCATTTTATCTTTTATTAGAATTTACTATAAATATACAATTTATTACAATATTAATATTGAAAAAATGATAAAAATAACTGATTTCAGATTACATCTGGTTTGATTTTATATACATATACTAATTTATATTAGTTTTGTCTTCTTCAAATTTATTTATTTTATTCCTTTTTTGCCTTTATACCTTTTTGAAATATTAATTGAAAAAAGTAAGTTAATTAAAAAGATTAATATCATATTTACAAAATTTGTAATATTTTCTAGAAAAAAAATTAAATTAAAGCACTAAGATTAACAATTACAAAAACCATATATTTATTCTTTTTATTTCTTATAAAATGGAAGTAGAGAACAGCCACATGTTAAATGGGGATAGTAATTCATAATAAGTCCAAAATTTATAAATAAAAATCTGCTATTTTAATTTTAAGTAAAAAAATATATTTGTAAATAAATAAAAAAGTTGAATCTGAACTTGAGATTTATGTAATAATAAAATTTGCAGGTAAAAAAAATTTACCTATTAATAGAGAAAATAATTCAAGGGTTAGTTTTATATCCAGATAATGGGTATGATGAAATTTAATAGTTCAAAGCATATTCTTTATCCATTAGGTTCTACTTTAGTAGTTAGACATAGAATTACAAAACAACAAACTTTTTAAAGGTATGGAAAAGTGGTATATTAAATTAGAGGACATGATAATTAGATCTCTGTAATAATAGTTTCTCGAACTGGAGATAATATTGTTTCTGGATAGAAAAAATATATTGTGTTCCAAGCTGAAATAATAGGGATTTCAAAGATAGAAGGATGATTTTAATTGGAACATTAGGGCAGAGGAGTCTTTATATGGATTCAAAATAGAGATTCTATTAATTAATTCTAGTTTACAATTAATCATATGAAAAGATGATTGCAGTTTTGAATACTGGAGTTTAAATTTTAGCAATAGACAAATAAAATATAAAGTTATTATGTATGGATATACAAAAATTTAATCCATTGATATTTATTTTGGAAGTGCCAAAAGAACTTTAATTTTGTTGCAATTAATAAAAATTATACATTTTATTATTTTGGAACAATGACTGGTGATGTGATGTATTTGAATTTAAATGGATATGGCTATATATAAAAGATGACTCATGTCAAGTAGCTATTTTCAAAAAGAATTAATTGTTTAGGATTATTGTAAAGTGGATATATAATTGTTAGAGCAAAAGATGGTTTGATAACAAAAGTGTCTTTTCAAACAATATNATACTTTTTTAAGTTAGATACTGAATGATTTTTTGAAATCTGAATGAATCCATTTTATCTTTTATTAGAATTTACTATAAATATACAATTTATTACAATATTAATATTGAAAAAATGATAAAAATAACTGATTTCAGATTACATCTGGTTTGATTTTATATACATATACTAATTTATATTAGTTTTGTCTTCTTCAAATTTATTTATTTTATTCCTTTTTTGCCTTTATACCTTTTTGAAATATTAATTGAAAAAAGTAAGTTAATTAAAAAGATTAATATCATATTTACAAAATTTGTAATATTTTCTAGAAAAAAAATTAAATTAAAGCACTAAGATTAACAATTACAAAAACCATATATTTATTCTTTTTATTTCTTATAAAATGGAAGTAGAGAACAGCCACATGTTAAATGGGGATAGTAATTCATAATAAGTCCAAAATTTATAAATAAAAATCTGCTATTTTAATTTTAAGTAAAAAAATATATTTGTAAATAAATAAAAAAGTTGAATCTGAACTTGAGATTTATGTAATAATAAAATTTGCAGGTAAAAAAAATTTACCTATTAATAGAGAAAATAATTCAAGGGTTAGTTTTATATCCAGATAATGGGTATGATGAAATTTAATAGTTCAAAGCATATTCTTTATCCATTAGGTTCTACTTTAGTAGTTAGACATAGAATTACAAAACAACAAACTTTTTAAAGGTATGGAAAAGTGGTATATTAAATTAGAGGACATGATAATTAGATCTCTGTAATAATAGTTTCTCGAACTGGAGATAATATTGTTTCTGGATAGAAAAAATATATTGTGTTCCAAGCTGAAATAATAGGGATTTCAAAGATAGAAGGATGATTTTAATTGGAACATTAGGGCAGAGGAGTCTTTATATGGATTCAAAATAGAGATTCTATTAATTAATTCTAGTTTACAATTAATCATATGAAAAGATGATTGCAGTTTTGAATACTGGAGTTTAAATTTTAGCAATAGACAAATAAAATATAAAGTTATTATGTATGGATATACAAAAATTTAATCCATTGATATTTATTTTGGAAGTGCCAAAAGAACTTTAATTTTGTTGCAATTAATAAAAATTATACATTTTATTATTTTGGAACAATGACTGGTGATGTGATGTATTTGAATTTAAATGGATATGGCTATATATAAAAGATGACTCATGTCAAGTAGCTATTTTCAAAAAGAATTAATTGTTTAGGATTATTGTAAAGTGGATATATAATTGTTAGAGCAAAAGATGGTTTGATAACAAAAGTGTCTTTTCAAACAATATAAATTGTAGCAAGTTGTGAATTACTTGGAGGTGTGAAATCTAGATCATTTACAAATGATTAGACTCATTTTTTCACAGGATCAATTCAAAGTAGCATATATTTGTTGGACACTGAGAAATTAATACCAGAATTAAGAAATACCTGTCATTAGGAAAGGATTAATGATGTTGCTTTTCTTCATAGTTATTCTGATGTATTTGCTACTAGTTCTTTAAATGATATCAGAGTTTGGAATGCTAAGAATAGGTAGAATCGCTTAGAATATAAGTTCCAAATCTATAATGTTGGGCAAATGTCAATATGAATGATGGTAAAATTATTTTAAGTGTTTGGAGAAATGGGAAAATTCAACCTTTTACCATAATCAGGTACATTGCTATCTGTAATTAATGATGCCCATATATATGGGCGTACATCATAAACTTTTACATCGAATTGTTAAAGAATTATTTCAAGAGAATCAGAAGAAGAAGTCAGAGTTTGGAATATGAAAATTTCTAAAATTTTTCTTATTTTATAACAAATTTAATCTTAGCCAAATATTTATAAAAATCTCCTGATATAAGATGTACTTAGTTTGTAAATAATCAGATGCACCGAAATATGCTAAACATGAGCTTATTCAAGGGGTTTTGACTGAAATAAGTAAAGCAGGTAGGTACGTTTGTAACCTTTTTGGATTACAGTTTACAACAATGCTAAAGCTATCTGATCTCTTCACTTAGTGAGATGGAAGAATAATATTCATCTGGCTTCCCTTTAGAACCCCTAGCTGATCTCTTTGATGAAAGCCTACCAAGCAGTACTTTAATGATAATTCTTTGCTTAAGTACGCTAGATAGTCAAATTTATAAAAATGTTTCTAAGATGATAGGAATTAGAATAAAGATTTAGATGTAAAAAGCTGAAATGAAACAATAAAAGGTGGTTGAAAATGGTTAGCCAAAAAAAAAATCAAAAAAAAATTAAATTATGCAAAAATCTCTAATGATTATTCATTAAATTTAAGCAGATAGAATTAGATTGAGAAGTTATGAGTTTTTAGCCAGTTTTTTTAAAATCGAATAAATGAAAAGCCTTTCATAAATAAATTTATGAGAATCTAAGATAAGTCTATACATGCCCTTTGGAAGACAGAAATCACAAATACTGTGATTGTAGAAGAATTTATTCTCTGTTTTAATAATCAAATGAAGCAATTTTTTCCATTTAAAAATTTTAAAGTAATCTAGTAATCATTTAGATGAATTCACTTTAAAAGGAAACGCAGGAGATCCTATAAATGTTTAATTTATATGGGATGTCAACTATAGAGTTGTATGGATCATCAATAGTAACCCAAAGACTTATTTCATCAAAAATATCACAAATCAGTTGTATCAGAGGAAGGTTTTAGTGAGAATTACCTGATTTAAATGATAAAGATCAGATTTGACAAGTTCCGGTGTTTTAACTTGCATAATTTCTGATATAACTTTATTAAAAAATTCTGAAATAGTAATTAGAAGAAATATTGAAAATAACAAAGTATTATAAAAGGATAATTTGCAAAAGTAACTGATATGCATTTTGATAGAGATTTTCAACCAAATAATAGGATCAGTAAATTCATAATTATAACTAAGAGTACAGAAACAAAATAATTTATAAGAAATAATATTTGAAGTTAATGAATAAAATAATTAGTTAAAGAAATTAGATCATTAAATCAGATAAATTATTTATGTGAAATTAATTTTTGAAAAAATGTATCTAAAAAAATAAAATTACAGTTCCATTAGCAAAATAATCAACCTATATGATACTAATTATATTAATTGAAAATGTAGTGATTCAAAAACTAAAATTAAATCAAAAAAAATTTATTAAAAAAATGAATATAAATAAATAAGGATTGATTTGTGAATTGTAAATTAGTTGATTAATTAGAAATTAATTTATATTTATTTATTTTTTGCAAAAGAAATTAGAAGATGTAATAATTAAAAATGTTCTATTGATTGTAAAAGAATAATAATCAAATTATACTATATTGATATTATTAATAAAAATTTGTAATGACACATTTCTTAAAAAATTAATAGTTTTAATAAATAAAATTCCAGATCATTTAATTGTTTATATTCATTAAATAAAAATAAATTTCGGATTAGCTAAGACTATACATGCAGCTTAAGGTTCAAAATTATAAAAATTAATAATTAATTTAAAAATGACAACAACGTAGCAATAGCATGGAATGATTATTTACAAGAATGAGCAGAGATAATAATTTATTATAATAATTATTTTTTAAGGTAAGTTTTAAAATAATAAATTTAATGTTCAAGCGAATAATAAAATAGATAGATTTTTTAATAAATTTATATATATATGCATTTATATATATAGAAGAATAATACTTGAACACAATAATTTGATAATAAAACAGTATTAAAGATGAAAATTTTAAGAAATTAAATCCTCCGATAAAAATTACAAATAACTTTTAATATAATCTAATATTCCACTCAAAAAAATAGTCTTATTCCAGAAGATAGGATTTATATTTTTAATATTTCTAGTCTCCAATTACTTCACTATACTCTTTATATCCCAAGTGACAATATTTCAAGCTAAAGGAGCTTTAATTCTGAATGGAGATTCATTAATCAATCAGGTATTGATCTTAGAGATTATTGAAATAAAAAGGAAGTTGCTTTTTAGAAAGTTGAATAAAAAGTGAATTTGATTATTATCAACAAAAATCAAAATAAAATTGCAAATACATTTTTAATATTTTGTTAAAAATGTCCTTATCTGATTCTACTCTTCATCTTCATTTCTTAAGATTGATAAGTTCATGTTTTATTAAAGTTTTCATTCCATTTAAGTTTTATGTGAACTTCCCTTATTTTAATATTAGAAAAATCTATAGTTGAGATAGTGTAAGGAATAATTAGTGAGATGACATAAAAACTGTTCTCAATTAATATTTATATAGATTTAAATTTAAATGATACTTTATTTAATTTATAATCTAAAGACATAAGAGTGAGCAAAACGAAGAGGCGAAAAGAAAGTGTGAAATAGTTATTTATAGAAAATTAAAAGGAAATTAACACAACGTCATTCTTTTTAAATCATTTAGAATATTATGATATTATTAATAAAAGGGATTTTTAGTTCATAAATAGAAAAGATTTATAATCCTTTTCGGGGATATACAACTTATCTTTGTTTATTTATCTTGACATTTTTTTATTGTTTTATTAAGGTTTTAAAATATAACTACTTTTGATTATCGACTTAATGATACATCCATAAAGAAACTGTCAAAAATACTTTTAAAATAAAAAATAAAAAAATTATAAACCAATAACATAATGTATAANAAAATAGATAGATTTTTTAATAAATTTATATATATATGCATTTATATATATAGAAGAATAATACTTGAACACAATAATTTGATAATAAAACAGTATTAAAGATGAAAATTTTAAGAAATTAAATCCTCCGATAAAAATTACAAATAACTTTTAATATAATCTAATATTCCACTCAAAAAAATAGTCTTATTCCAGAAGATAGGATTTATATTTTTAATATTTCTAGTCTCCAATTACTTCACTATACTCTTTATATCCCAAGTGACAATATTTCAAGCTAAAGGAGCTTTAATTCTGAATGGAGATTCATTAATCAATCAGGTATTGATCTTAGAGATTATTGAAATAAAAAGGAAGTTGCTTTTTAGAAAGTTGAATAAAAAGTGAATTTGATTATTATCAACAAAAATCAAAATAAAATTGCAAATACATTTTTAATATTTTGTTAAAAATGTCCTTATCTGATTCTACTCTTCATCTTCATTTCTTAAGATTGATAAGTTCATGTTTTATTAAAGTTTTCATTCCATTTAAGTTTTATGTGAACTTCCCTTATTTTAATATTAGAAAAATCTATAGTTGAGATAGTGTAAGGAATAATTAGTGAGATGACATAAAAACTGTTCTCAATTAATATTTATATAGATTTAAATTTAAATGATACTTTATTTAATTTATAATCTAAAGACATAAGAGTGAGCAAAACGAAGAGGCGAAAAGAAAGTGTGAAATAGTTATTTATAGAAAATTAAAAGGAAATTAACACAACGTCATTCTTTTTAAATCATTTAGAATATTATGATATTATTAATAAAAGGGATTTTTAGTTCATAAATAGAAAAGATTTATAATCCTTTTCGGGGATATACAACTTATCTTTGTTTATTTATCTTGACATTTTTTTATTGTTTTATTAAGGTTTTAAAATATAACTACTTTTGATTATCGACTTAATGATACATCCATAAAGAAACTGTCAAAAATACTTTTAAAATAAAAAATAAAAAAATTATAAACCAATAACATAATGTATAATCACTTTTACCTTCTAGATGATTTTAACGAAAAATGAATATCAAGACAAAAATACCACTTTTATGAACTCATCCACCAGACAAATTTAAATTTATTTAAATTCAATTAGAAATAACCCAAAATTTATTTTTATTTATTTAAAGCAAATCTATTGAGCAAATTGAAGAATAAGAAAAAATGATACTATGATTAGTATTCTTATACATATACAAAGATAATTTAATTTTTCATGTTTAAAAATGAGATTAAATATTAAATTAATTTGATAATAAATCTATAGAGCAAACTTAAAATAAAAAGCAGGAAATCAATGATATCTATTATTATGAATATTTATTTTTATGTTAATGATTTCAAAATTATAATTAATTGATTATCTTAAAATTTTAATTTTTTGTAAAACTTTAACTATTATGGTTGAAAATCTTTTATAATTCTTAATATATATCAAATAAATTAAAATTCACATTTTTCTAAATCCGAAACAAACTATATTAACCCGAAATATTACTGTCAAATTTAAAACTAATTGCAGTTTAACAATACTATAAAAAAAGCAATAAAAATTTATTTGTTTTATTTATTTTATTTATTTTTATTACTCAATCCTATCTTTACAGTTTATAGTTTTATTGATCAACCCTAAAGTTGAAGTTTTCTATAATCTTTTTATTGCTTTCAGCGTTTCGGATCATTTTTCTATATGGAATACTTTCCTGTTGTTCCTTATTATTTTTTTATAACTTAATTGCCTTTTATGCTTGATATTTTATATTAATTTACTATCATTTAATGACAAAAGAAGAATGTAAATATCCTTCCTCAGGAATGTCAATTTGTATTTTATTAAGGGTTACAACAATATGTATTAACAACTTTACTGTCAATGGTTAACGAAAACCATCTAAAATGATATTCATTATTGTCATAAGATGAAGATGTAAATTTTATATTTAAATTTACTACATAAAATAGCTTTAATGATATCAATTTTATCTAGATGATCAATTGAATTTGAGTTTATAATGATATTTCAATTTTGATATCCTTTTCATTCCTATATATGGTAAAATTAAGAATTAATTGGATTTCATAATAACTTATTAAAAAAAACAAATAACACAACTAAAACGTACCAGGTTTATGGAGAATCTATTGTTATTTTCATTCTTAATTATACTGATTTTATTTGTCATAAAATACAGTTGTGTTAGTGTTTAGATATGTGAGGATAATTCTAAATTAGTAAATAATATTAAACTTCATGTAATGAAGGTCAGGTCACAGAAGAGGATTTGGGCAAGTTACAAATATATTTGTAGCTCTATTTTTAAGAATAACTAAAATCTTTCTGCTATTACTCCAATCAGTTTATGGTAAATTATTATTATAATTATATATTTAGGACTTTAATTTAAATACATATTTCAATCAAGAGTAAAGTGCCATTAAATAAAACAATAATGACTTTCTAAAAGCTTTAATAACATTCCAATTTGCTATTTTAATCAAAATGACAACTCATTATTTAAAGATACTTTTATTTTCATCTTTGAATTTAAAACAATAATAAAAGTATACAATATTATTAAAGCTATAAGTAATCCTATATAAATATTGACTTAATCACTTGATTACTTATTATATTTTAAAATAATTTTAGCCACTATAAAAGATATATTTGACATTCTAGTTCATTATTCAAGAATAATATGTTAATAATGGCTTGCGTTTACGTTATTATTTTTTAGATTATTATGGAATTATTTTAATTTGAGAAGTTTTGATGTAGTTTAAATGTCATAACTACTACATCAATTTTTATGCATCTATTATTACTACATCAACATCATAAATATGCATCAAACCATTTATTGTTAGTGGAATGATATCATTAAAAGTTCTATTGAATTTAAGTTAATTTTTGCCATAGATAAGATACAAAAAGTCATTTTTAATAGTTATTTTGGCTTTGTTTGCCACTTTTAATCTTCATTTCTTTCTTTACCCTTATATTTTCTAATTATTTATTTTTAATTTATAATCAAAATATATCACAAAACTATGATTATTTTTATTTTTTTCAAACAGTCCTTAAACAAGACATATATATTTTGGTTGAGGATGAACTAATTATAATAAATATAAAGATGTCAATTTTTATTACTATATTATGTATTAATTTAATCATAGGTAAAAGTAATTTTTTTTTGGGGATATTGGATATTTTCACCAGGATTATTTTAATATAAGAAATTGTCCAGATGGCAAAAATGTAGCCTAAAAATCTGATATGCAATCTACCCTTATGTCTAATTGATTTGTTATTTTCTCTTATAAACTGCAATTAAAGCAACCTTACGTTAGTGGAAAAATCTTGATTGTACTTTACAGGTGGAGATTCACAAGAGATAATTTTAGCCTTAATGAAACTAAGAATATCAATTAATAAACCTTAGTCTAAATGGTGAAATTTTCAACATATTTATTAACAATTATGGTTGGATAAAATAAGAATAAAATTTACAAATCTAAGAAAGAGGCAAAAGATATCTCACTTTGTTTGATAATTTTATCCACTAATGGACTACATTTATCCACAAAAAAAAGGCAAATTTATAAATTATATAGAATATAAATTGATATAATTTATGATATCAAATATAGAATATATTTAATTAATATGTTAAAAAAAGTTCCTTCCCAAATATCTTTAGGAGTTGGTTGTTATAGCTCAAAGAGATTTGATGATAAACTTAAGATAAAGAATGGTGACTTTAAAATAGCAGGATTCAAAATTTATCTATCAAATAATAAAATTTGCGGAATAGGAATTATCTATTAAAATAAAGCAAATGGAAGAAAGATTATCTTTACAGATACTTCTTAAAATCAAAAGTATTCAGCCTTATATGAATTTAAAATTCCATCAAGTATTTTTTACTAATCAATAAATAATAGATGATTATATCTAGGTCATTTTTGGATATTGTGATGATGATTAACTAAATTAACTTGGCATTATCACATACTCTGGAAAATAAGAAATATTTGGAATCGATAAAGGAACTAAATTTAATTACATGTTTATGGGTTATACTTTCTCTGGTTGTAGTGGTATTTTTAGATAAGGATCAATAGAATCACTAAATTTTCAAGTACTAAAGCTTCCAAAAGATTATGTATTTCACAATGTAATTATTACAAACAAATATTTAGCTTAGCCCTTTATTTGATATACTTTATCCAAATATCCTTGAAGAAAATACTTAAAATAGAGAATAATCAGATTAGAACACCTTAAATTTATCAGAATTATCAGACTAATCAGTTGAAAATGCTTCGGAAATAATCGATTATTAATCAACTAATAAAGAGTAAATATCACAATCAAATGAAATTAAAAAAATAGAATATTCAGAATTTGACTTTTAATAGGTGAATGTTGAGAGGAGACCACAATAATAATAATTCAGTTATGGACCCAATTATAATCGAAACCCCCAAAGAAATGGATTCGACCCTAGTTTAAGATAAATTGGAACAGGAATAATGATAGGAGAGATGATTGTTAAGCTAATTTTACGTCATTGAATAAAATAATTATTTTATAATATTAATTTTTATAAATTTTTTTAATTAATATTTGAGAAATTAGAAATTAACTTATAAGAAATTAGAACTAAAAATTGTAGAATTCCAATAAACAACAATTAATAAATTATCTATTTCTTGACACCAAAGTTTATCAAATGATGATTGATGAAAAGTGAAAAAGTGGTTTTTCAAAATTTTCAATCACTAGTTTTCATTTGTCTAATAGCTAGAAAAAACAGAAAATTAAATTGATGAGAAATAATTGAGCGTATTATTTTTGGATCGAAGATTTCCTATTTAAAATAATATTTCCTTTTAAAATAAATGATTTAAAATTGATATTTTTATGATATCAATCTAGGGTTTCTACTATAAAGCTAATTTATAATTTTCATTAAGTGAAATAAATAAATATTTAAAAGCGGGATAAATAACTTTGATCAATAATAAATTTAACTTAAGCTATTTATGACATTTACTTTTCAGCATAGAATAAAAAATAAATAGATTATAGCAAATTTTTTAATAATTTATTAGGTTAAAATATCTATTATGTTAATACTTATTATGCATCAAATCTTTTCATGTAATTATTTTTGAAATACAATATTTTAATTTAAACGCTAATAAATTAATGCTTTTCTATTTAATTGTAATAGCCTTAATGAATCAGCTAATTGTTAAAAAAAGAATTAGCTGTTATTTAGATAAAATGGTAAATTAATTTTAGTCTTTTAAATAGCGTCCTCCCAATTTGTTATAATATCCAAAAATCTTTCTTATTTTTGTAAAGCATATTCTAAATATAATTTTCAATTGTTTTTACTTTTTTCTACATAAAAATTTAAGATGGAATTTTGTGCAAAACCAAAATGGGCTTGAGCTTCTTAATATTCTTATTATAAATGTAAAACTAAATCTATTATTTCATTACTCTTTTACTAAATTCCCAAATCAATGCATTCAATAATTTCTGGAAATTTTTTCATTTTTTCTAAGGCTCTCACTTATAATTTCATTTGATTTTTTACTTTTTTCTTTATAAAAATATAAATTCAATTTGTTTTTTAGAATTCCTTCATCCCAACAATCAAGAATTTCTTAAGTTCGATACAATTTTTCTAATGCTTATGCTAAATTATTAAATAATTTTTCAAACCTTTTTGATTATAATAATAAATATTATTTGGATATTACTTTATACCATCATTCCAACATTCAATAATTTCCTAAAATCTATTTTATTTTTCTAATGCATTACCTATGTTCATAAAAATTATAAATACATTTTGCTAAATAATATTAGTAATTGTTATTTAGGTTGCTTTCAATTCCTAATTGCCAAATTAAAATGATTTCTTCGAATTTTGCTTCCCTTGCTAAAGTATTTGCTTTATTTAAAAATGATTTTACTTAATTTGATATAGAAAGAGTAATCACACTTATAATATTATTTATTTGAACTCCAAAAATCAATGATTTCTTAAGTTTTTCCTTATTTAACTAATGCAAGAACTAAAATATCAAATATTCTAACTCTTTTCGAATATAGCCCACTAGAAATTTTTGTTGATTGATATGGCAGCATCCCAACACATAATGATTTCTTAATATCTTTTGTTTTCTTCTAATGCCTTTGCTAAAATACAAGAAGATTGTACTTTTTTCATAGTAGAATAACTTGTTATAAGGATTCTATTCTATACCTTTCTACCAACATTCTATAACCTATTATTCATTTCCTTATCTTTTTAATGCAGCAGCTAAATATAAATATAAAATAATGAATACTTTTATATGCATAAAAGTAAAAATTTGATGAATTTAACTTAATTCCTTAATCCCAACATTATATGATTTCTTATAATTTGCCTTATCTCTCTAAAATTTAGGCTAAAAATTAAAATAAGTATACTTTTTTGTATAAAAAAATATAATTCACTTTGATGCTTAAATATACGATTTTCCCAGTAATGTATAATTTCGTTACAATCAACATGCTTTTCTAAGGCTTTTGCTTGATTTATTTTATAATTTATTATACATTTTTCTAAGTAATAGCATTTTTACCTAAAATCTTGGAGAATTGCTTGATCCCAATTATTTATTATTTCATTTGGTTTACCTAGTTTTTCTAAAAGGATTGCTATAATAACTTGCAATAGATATGAATACCTTTTTATGAATAAAATTAATATTTATTTTTATTATTTTCAATTCCTTAATCCCAACATTTTAAAGCCTCTTCATATTTTTAGGTTTTTTCTAAAATGACAGCTAATAATAAAATATTTTATCACAACCCTTTTCCATATAAAAAGAAATTGTTGAAATATTATTTTATATTCCATAATTCCATATTTCGATGACTTCTGAAAATTTATTTTAATTTTGTAGTATGAGTGCTAAAGATTAAAATTAATCTAACCAATTTATTTGTAAACAAAAATGTTATGTTTTTAATAATTTAATATAGATTTATAAAATTCTAAGGCTTCTTCATCTCGACCTTACAATTATAGCGCTTTTGCTAAAAATGTAATTTATTATACCTTTTAAAATCTATTTGATGAAAGATAATTAAGGGTTATTCTTTTTTTTCATTTACTTTTTAAGTTTTATAAAAGAATTAATAATTAAATTACAAATAATGATATCAATTAAATCTTGCATTTTTATATATAATCAAAATGTTACATAGAATGCAAATTAGTTAATAATAAAAATTCAATACAATATATGAACATAACTAAAATAGTTTGATACCATCCTTTGCAAATTGCTTAAACCTAGATTTAAACATCAAAATCCTATCACACCAATATTTACATTTCAAAATTTAAAATTTTTTCATGCTATATTCGAATATATCTTAATAAGATAAATATAATTATAATATTAATTAATATGAAAATACTCAAATAACTTGAAAGTCATCAATAATTATAATAAATTAAACAAAAATAATTTAATTATAAAGAGTCTATATTCAATAACAAAAGTAATCATTATTATTATATGAATAATTCAATTATTATGATCAAAAGTTTTAATACTTATTGTTAACATATTCAAGGAGCTCTTTATAACAGGTTTCAAAATTGTCATTAACAATAAAATGATAAAATTAAAATGATTTAGCTTTCTCTATTTCAGTTTCTGCATTCTTAATTCTTTTTTCTATAACATCTTGAGTTTCAGTTTTTCTTCCAATCAATCTTTCTCTAAGGGAGTTGATAGATGGTGGTAATATAAATATGTTCACACATTAGTTTTGTAGTTATTTATTAATTTTTTCAGCTCCTTAAACATCAATCTCAATGAGAGGTATTTTATTTTATTTGATGATATCGTTTATTTGGTGCTTTGCGGTGCCATAAAAATTCCCGTGCACTTCACAAAATTCTAAAAATGCATCATTTATGATTTTCTCATCAAAAACATTTTTATCTACAAAAAAATAGTTGACCCCATTCTGTTCATTAGGTCTTGGTTTTCGAGTAGTTAAACTAACACTATAAACAAAGTTTTAGTTATTCTATAGTAATTTTGTGACCAATGATCCCTTAAATTAAATTATTATTTACTTTACCAACTCCACTAGGGCCAGAAACTATTAAAGGTTTAATTGTGGAAAATAAATAAATTGCCTTCATAAATATTTAATAATTAATTTTATTAATAATAATTTAAGATTATCAACTCAGAAATCAAAAATGTGTTGTTGCTCAAAAAGCAAAAGATTGTGGATTTATTAATTTCAAGACTATTCTTTGTTAAACATTTAACATAAATGAAATATGTTCTTTTAATTTTCAATATAAATAGGATATCAACTCCAATATTAATCGTTATTCAGATGATGTTTCATCATTTAATATAAGATTTATGGTTAATCAAAAACAGCAGCATGTCCAGCATTGTATATTGTTACCATAGTAAATTTTTCTGTTTTTTTGAAATTGCCAACTGTTTTTCCATTAGTTTTAAAAATAGATTTTTATGCTGTTTTCCATTGATATATTTATTCTGACTTTAAGCTTGATAACCAATTTTGTGTTCCAGCGTAATTTATGCTAGCATCCATCTAACCATCATAGAAAAGTACTGTTCCTTTGTTTAGTAAGTCTTCAATAATTTTTGTCAAATCAAAAGAGAAATCTCGTACCATCTGTTACTTGACTTATTAATTACAAACCTCAGTTATACTGTTCTAAATTCCAAATTAATCTTTATATTTATTCATAAAACTAATCCAATCATTTGATCTTTTTTATTCTTGTTTTAATAAAATATTAGTTAGATCAGTTTTTGCAAAAGTTTCTAAGTCGTTTTAATATTAGATGAAGGCTGATCCTGCTAATTCATCTTATTACTTAAGAATCATTGATTATATTTGACATTCTTCTTTCTTTATCGTCTGCTTAAACTTATCACTTATATATCCATTCACATATAAGTATGAAGATATCGATGATGTTTAATGTAACATACTTTATAATCCATTTCCAATAATAATTCCTTAATAATTGAACTTGATGTCACTATTAAGTAAACTGCTTGAAAATTGAGGAGCAAAATGGCCTGTATAACTAAAACCAGTAAGGTATGTTTTGGCTAATAAAAATTCAGGATGAACCTTGAAAAACTCAACCATAAATTCTACAAAATAGGTTGAAGCTTGTAATGTTGAATTAATTGGTATTTCTCCTTAACTAAACCCAGTTTCAAAAGGCTGATCAATAAATAATATTGAAGCAAAGTCGTTCCAACTATTATCTTTTTTTTCAATAGTAAAGTCAGTATCAGATTTTGTAATGCGGAATGGCCCAATCAATTCAAAAAATGCACTCTATGATGAACAACCAGGACCTCCTTAAAGCCAGATCAAAAATATATGGTCTTTTGTGATTGTTTACTCATTAAGCCCTTTTTAGTATACTAATTAATAAAACATGCTATTCTTTTCTTTAGATAACCCTGAAGCAGACCCACTTTCAACATCAAAATCAATCGCTAAATACTTGCTATATAAGTCTAAGAGCTTGTTATTAATTTGGTTTACCTTTCAAAGATTTTTTTGTGATTGCTGCATGTGTAAAACATATAAAAAGGTAAAAAAGCATTTAATAATTAAGGAAATATATAATACAAAAATTACATAAATTTTGAATAACTTCTAATTGAAAATTAAATTAATAAGTTATTTATCTCTATAAAATTATAAATAGCATTAGTTTATTAACAATATTAGATATCTAAATTGATTAAAAATGAGGTTAATTTTTGAGTGAACTTTATAATTCATTGAATTAACACTTAATTTATATCAATCATGCAAGATTAAATATTTATGTGATATCAAATAAAAATGGTACAGTCCTAGATTGAAGGTATTAGTGTTTGAACATTATTAATAGATACTATTATTGATATTATCTTTGAATTAGGTTTAATTGATAAAAACGATATAAATAAAAATAAATGGCAGATAAAGGCGGAGCCAAAGGAGGAGCAGGAGAGGAGGGAAAAGAAGGAGAAGATAAAGAGCCAGAGAAAGGATGTTGCGATAAATATGCTGAATGTTTAGTCGTGACTGGTAAAGTAAATAATCTATCTCTATATTAAGGCTGTCTACACTTGTTGTTTGGCTGTTTGTACATGTATACGAGAATGTTTGGGATTTATATGGTACCCTTGTAAAGAAAGATGTTGTGGATGTCTTGATAATTGTGATAAGCATTACAATTAATGGAAAGATGAAGGATTTACAGATGTATGAAATTGAGTACTGCAGTTTTTTTATAATTAAATTTTCTCCAGAAGATCATTTTGTTTTATACAGTTATTTACATAAAATCTAGATACAATTTCGAAAAAAAAAATAATGGAATTCTAAATAAAAGTCTCCATTAGTTCTAGAAAATGTTTGTTTTAGAGATAAGTGTTTAGTTCTAATGAAAATAAGTTACTTAGACCATTGCATTATATTAATAATATAGAATAATTAAAATCAGAAAGTAATTTGACTGTCTTCATGAATTTTAGCACTCTTTCCTTCTAGAAATGCATATTTCCTTAATTCTTTCGATACCCAATAAGGACAATCAGGAATTGCAGCTCCAAGTATATATTTAATAAGTAATAAAATATGTTCTATAGCTGCAAGAACTAAGGCTTGAAATAAGGGATCAGTATCCCCAATCAATTTTTCAAATTCAGATTTATTTACGATTCCAATCACTATGCAATTCATGAAGGTAGAACAATAATTCATAATCTCAAAAATGGATAGCCAAATTCCAATTGAATCAGCAGCTTAAGCTCTCTTTAGTAATGTAATATCTTACCTCTCTTTTTAGCACTTTTTAATAATTGTAAATGGAGAATTGAAGGTTGATGTATTGATTTAACAGAAAAAAAAGTGGAGCAGCAGCAAAGGCAGGGGAAAACATTGTTGTATATCCAAATTGAATGGCTATACTTGTATACTCATTATATAGTTCCTTTTATGGTTATTTATTATGGCTATCCTCCATTATTTACATAAATTTAATCTAATCTTCAAGGTTTAACTTTTCATCTACATATTACATTTCAGAAATTTTGAAATCTTTACAAAAGTTATGAAATTTATCAAATTAACCTTTTAAACCCCATTTTAAATATTTGTAGAATAAATAAGGCATACAATTACTTGTTAAATTTGAGATTAGTCCTCTAGTAATAATTATGCTAGCTACTGATAAAGTTAATTGAGTTTGNAATCTATCTCTATATTAAGGCTGTCTACACTTGTTGTTTGGCTGTTTGTACATGTATACGAGAATGTTTGGGATTTATATGGTACCCTTGTAAAGAAAGATGTTGTGGATGTCTTGATAATTGTGATAAGCATTACAATTAATGGAAAGATGAAGGATTTACAGATGTATGAAATTGAGTACTGCAGTTTTTTTATAATTAAATTTTCTCCAGAAGATCATTTTGTTTTATACAGTTATTTACATAAAATCTAGATACAATTTCGAAAAAAAAAATAATGGAATTCTAAATAAAAGTCTCCATTAGTTCTAGAAAATGTTTGTTTTAGAGATAAGTGTTTAGTTCTAATGAAAATAAGTTACTTAGACCATTGCATTATATTAATAATATAGAATAATTAAAATCAGAAAGTAATTTGACTGTCTTCATGAATTTTAGCACTCTTTCCTTCTAGAAATGCATATTTCCTTAATTCTTTCGATACCCAATAAGGACAATCAGGAATTGCAGCTCCAAGTATATATTTAATAAGTAATAAAATATGTTCTATAGCTGCAAGAACTAAGGCTTGAAATAAGGGATCAGTATCCCCAATCAATTTTTCAAATTCAGATTTATTTACGATTCCAATCACTATGCAATTCATGAAGGTAGAACAATAATTCATAATCTCAAAAATGGATAGCCAAATTCCAATTGAATCAGCAGCTTAAGCTCTCTTTAGTAATGTAATATCTTACCTCTCTTTTTAGCACTTTTTAATAATTGTAAATGGAGAATTGAAGGTTGATGTATTGATTTAACAGAAAAAAAAGTGGAGCAGCAGCAAAGGCAGGGGAAAACATTGTTGTATATCCAAATTGAATGGCTATACTTGTATACTCATTATATAGTTCCTTTTATGGTTATTTATTATGGCTATCCTCCATTATTTACATAAATTTAATCTAATCTTCAAGGTTTAACTTTTCATCTACATATTACATTTCAGAAATTTTGAAATCTTTACAAAAGTTATGAAATTTATCAAATTAACCTTTTAAACCCCATTTTAAATATTTGTAGAATAAATAAGGCATACAATTACTTGTTAAATTTGAGATTAGTCCTCTAGTAATAATTATGCTAGCTACTGATAAAGTTAATTGAGTTTGGTCAGATTTAAATAACACAGCATATACAACTGAGATATAAGAGATTAAGAATTCAAACAAAAAGACTTTTAAAACATAAGAGTATTACATTGCTAAATCAAATTTATGATTTTCCCAATTAACAACTGATTTACACAAACGTTTATATAGGTCACAAAAGACAGTCATGCTTACTCCATTAAGAGAATTAATTATTATTGGCATATAAATATTGTTTGGTTCTTGGTTTTATTGCCAAATATTGAAGGCAAAGAAGCTCACGACTATAATAGATATCCCTAACAATATTACTGGGAATTCAACTATCATTCTTCTTTTAAATGTTGTAAATGAATCATAAATTCCTATTTTATTTGTACATTGATTGATAACATATTCACCAGTATACATTACTCTTTAAGGTTCTTATTATTTGAATTTATGCATGTCCCATATATATTTAAATTCAGATTCTCTATTTTTCCATTTTTCCATGAATAATGTTGCCCATAGTGACATAAACAAAGCATAAGCTGGTAAAATGGAAGCACTAATTTTATACTAATTAATTTATACTGAACTTTATCAGCAAATAGCTGATATAATTGAATAGCAGAACCTACTAGAGCTGGAATAATAAGCCAACCCACAATTTAGACATTAAAAGATAAATACCAGGCAATTACTGGTCCATAATATGCTGCTATGGAATTTAATGGTCTTAATGAAAATTAATGAGTTTCAAATCTGATTGTATCTCTAATGCAATTATATTATAGTTCTTTCCATAACTAATCAACTTTTGATGATTTTGAAATATCTTCAAGTGGAAAATGAGAGATCACTAATCCTTCTAATATAAATTTGTCTAAATCAAATTCTTCATTTAATGTGTTAACAATTAGAGATTATATCTACAAAGGTTTAGGAAATTCATAATGAGCATAATCTCTATATTTAAACTTGGCTAAATGCTATAATTAATCAAGATATTACTTTCTTAGTAAAATGATAGCATTCAATTTCATATTTATCTGCTAGTTTATAAATAGTATGTGCTGTTAATTTTAGAACATAATAATGATGTTGAATTTTATTCTCTTTAGTATTCCTTAGATAATTATAATTTGGAGTATTGATTACAATAAATTCAAATTCCATGTCATTTTATTAAAAGGATTATCTAATATTTTGTAATTATAACATAACAATATCTTGATTAATATCCAAAGATCCTTTAGTTTATAGAACATACATATATCCCATAAAATTAAAACTTTATTCATGTTTTTTTAGATATTAATTCTCATAAAATTTGACCATTTTAGTATCAAATGTAAGTTCAAAAGGTTTTAAACATCTATGATTTAACACATCTACCGAAACCCCATTTTCCACTAATATCTTCATACATTCAAAATTATTAATTTCAATGGCTAAATGTAAGGCATTGGAAGGATTCAAATCAGTCATCATATTGAAAGCATTATTCTAATAATTAAAAATTTAATAATACTTTATTAAATATAACTTTGCTTTATTAAGTCTTACTTAATTCTTCTTCAGTAATGTAAGGTTGTTTTTCCTTCAGTTATTCAAGTTCTTTGTATTTATATTCATTCTCTAAAATAAATCTAAGAATATTATATTTTCCTTTGTTTGCTGCAATATGTAGGCAATTAAATCCTTAATATTAAATTAGAAATGGATTGCATCCCTTTTTTAAAAAGTATGTAAAAAATTCTATTGATTCTATTCTTGTTGACCAAAATTATAATCTACATTCAAACAATTACCTCTTACTTTAACTCTTTGTAAAATGAAAGATGTAGTAAGGTTCATTATTAAAAGTTGTACTTTTCCTTTTAAATAATTTCTATCCTGGTTTTTTTAAAGAAGGTTTCATCGATCTAAATTGTTAAGCATCCTTCATTGACAATCTAAAATCCTCTTAAGATATTTGCATTTCTTGAGAAAATTGCCTTCCAAATTAAGAAGGTGCACATGACTATTGGCATTATGATGGCTAATATCGAGATAATTCATATTGTGATTATATATTATTTGATTTAAAAGGACGAGGAATTTCATCATCTGATTAAAGAAGATTTTTTTAATTATTTCTTTCACTTTCCAAATCACTCTTAGAATTGAGTATTTTATTTGATTAATCCAAATAATTTTTATGAGGATCCATGAAAATTGTATTAGTTGGCTAAAGTATTTTGACTGTTGGAATTTTCTCTGCTTCTGGTTCATTAAGTTCTAATTATGAATCATCAAATGGAATTTCATTAGTTATATTTTTATTAGGTAATTTTGTCATCTTCTCTTTAATCTATTTAAATTATTAACTTAGTTTTGAAGTTAAGGAATCTCTTTTTTGAGAATTAGTACATGTCTATCTTACCTTTGACATTAAGGTCATAGTAGTTAAACCTGCATGCAAATAATTTTAGGTTCTTTCTTCAGATTCACTATCTATTTCATTTGCAGGTTCTTTCAAGTGTAATCTCTCTCTACTATCATTTCCTTATGATTTTAACGATTAGGATCGAAGAGTCATAGTCATTTAAGTATTGAGATTACGAATATTTTTGAATTGGTGATTATATATTGTATATGCATATTCCACTACTGTTGCAATAAAAATACCTTTGTAATTTCTCCTAAAATATATGAAATTTATCAAAATACTAATATTCCTAAGGTCTATTCTCTAAGAATAAATAATCAACAGGATACATGCCAAATTAGTCTAGTTGATATTGAAGATCAGGGTAATTTGACAAAAGAAATTTAATTAGCTCTGTATTTCCATAATAATAGGCCCAATGAAGTGGAGTTGCTCGTTTATATGGATTATCTACTGGTACTATAGCCTTATTCTCAATTAATAATTTGATTAGGCTAAATTAAATCAAGGAGTCCTGTTCTTTCATAAAGCTGTAATTAATAAGAATATTGAATATACCCTTTAATACTCGCTAATTCTAAAGGAGTATAATGATGCATATCAGTCTTATTAAGATCAATGTATTAAGAGTAGGATTATAGCCAATTTTCTAATAATTCCAATTATCCGAAATAGGCAGCCCAATGGACTACATTACGTTTTTAGTTGTCAATCATCTTAAAAAAGAGTTAGAGCCCTTTTAAATTGCCAGCTAGGTTTTCACGAAAGTAAGTTGCCAAAGTTTATGCATTTCCATCTTTGACCCATTCTAGTAATTGAGTTTGGGTTATCTTATACATTAATATTGAGAAGAAATAATAATTGATTAATTCATTTCTGAAATATCTAATAGTTTTTAAGATACAAAATTAGTATTATCAAAATCTTAATGTATTAATCTGAGCCACATTTTATGTAAGTTCAGAATCCCAATGACATTATAACAGATAATTAATTAATGAAAACATTGCATTTCCAAGATTAAACATTCATCTAACCTTATTATACTCCTAGAGGAGATTCCTATAGATTTGATTATCATAAATAATAAACTATGTAGCTTTTGAATAAGGTTAAAAGACATCTTCAAAAATGTGACTCAAATAGATATCGAAGTGAGAGAAGATCACCAGTTGATGTTAAGTATTTAGATAATCAATTGAGAGATGAAGTTAAAGATGATTATGTAGAATAAAATGCAGACCAAGAGTTTAAAATCTTAAATGGAACATGTTTGAAAGAAATGTTAGCATATAACAACATTTAAGATGTGCGTAAATTAGATGAAGAATAAGAGTTTGCATAAACTATGATGCCAAAGTAAAGAAGATTAAAGAAATTATAATCGACTATATTAGTTACTAAACTAGTAAGAGCTAAAGGTATAGATAAGAAGTCAATCCAGTAAATTGATAAAGAAAAATTAGAAGAATTCATGTCAATCCACAAGGATTAAATAAAAGCAGATAAAAAGTCTAAATTAAATAAACTGAAACTTCCCAATATTCCAGAAGCATCTTCTAGAAGATTTTAGAGAGCAACCATAACAACTTTCAGAGAGTTTAAATAAAATTCATCTGAAATTGATGGTTCGCCTTTGGTGTAAAGATAAACTTCATTAACATTAATATCAGATACTAAAATTCCTATAGTGAGGTAGGGACAATCGAAAAAAACAATTGGTTTATTAATTGATAGAATAAATGAAGAGAAAACATCAATAATTGAATAAAAGAAAGACATCAAAACTTCAATAGCGAAAGTATAGAAACATTTTGATAAAATAGATATCTTTAGTAAATTAGATAGACAAGAAAAATTTAATTATTTAAAATTTGAGTAAAGAATTTTTGGCAAAGGTAAACACAAGAGATACTTTTGAAATAATTAATTTTTTTTGTTAAAAGCTTTTTTAAAATTCAATAAATGATAATTAAATTATATATTTTATGAATTAATTATAATTAGATGTTGTTTATCAAAGTATTTAATAAAGAATATATTAAGTTCTTTAAGAGTACTCCTTTCCTTAAGTCTTTAATTTAATTCTTTTCCATTGAAATCATAGAATTCTTTAATTATTGGATTTGGTTGAAATAGAAAAAAATAAAATTTAATTATCCAAATTATCTTAAAAATATATTATTTTACATTAATTATTTTTGAAGATTAAAAAAAGTGCAAAAGATTTAATAGTGAATGAGACAAACAATTAGATCATAATGTTTAAATATGAGAAAAGTGATGTTAAATGATAAAGCTGGTAAATATAGAAAATTAAGATGAAATATTAAATTATATTTTTCTTTCGAATAGGGAATATTTAAATAGGTATACACTAAATGTATATAATTATTATTTAATGCAAATTTCAATTAGATTATCAGATTTTATAATTCGTCCTATCTGAAAATAGGAACTTGATATTGATATTTAAACACTATGATTAATTTATTACATATTTTTGATCATATATTATTTAATATCAAATATTTAAATCAAAATTAAATTTATTATCTTACTAATACATTATTATTTATATAATATATGAAATATTTTTAATAATTTAGATTCAGAACTATGATAATAATTAGTATTTATTTTTATATATACTATTTCTTATGTATTATATGAGGTTTAAATTATTTCTAATTTATTATTTCGATAAATATTTAAAAGTTGTTATTTTCATTACTTCTTATGAATCAATGGAAATAAATAATAGCAAAGCTCAAACTTGGTTAATAACTGAAAATGGAGAAGACTAAGAAAGTAAAGCCAAAATAAAGGTATATTATGTTATTCAATAGAAATTCAATCCTTCTCCAACATAACATACATTTGAGTAATGATTATATTATTTGATGGATGGTTTAGTCCATCCACCGAAAGCTTATTTGGCATAATCACTGAAGGATAGATTATAGTCTTTATGAGCATACCAAAGAGGATGAGATGTAAATTTGGCACAAGCTGAGGCTGATCCCATAAATTTTGACCATTAATATTAAGAGGAATAGATTCCTACTAATCTCTTTTTGGCTGTAAATAAATTAACAATGTCTTAAAAGAATAGGCAGTTTTCTGAGTAATCTGAAAGATTCTATTCACACCATGGGTATGGATTGTATTCAACACCAATCCAAACAGTTCCATATTCTGAACCAAATATAGATATATATTATGTAAAGACACTCAAAATTATCAAAAATAGTCACCTAAGCATGAACACTCTTTCCTATTAATAATAAATTGAACTTCTTTTAGCAAAACATAATAATTGAAATATACTTCTTTTGCAAGGCAAGAAATAGACATCACTAATTAAACCTGCAGCTTTGGTATTCATAAGATTTTAATAACCTTCTGTATCAACTGAGCCATGGCTCTTATATCCTTTAACAATAACAAAAGAATATCCAGGACTTTTAAAACAGGTAAAGTTTTAAAAGGGGGCTTCTAAATCAAGAACTAAAGTGGCCAAAGTTGTAGAGATATAAGCAAAGATTACTAATGCAATCGAGATGGATGTTCTCATTTTTTAAATATATGTTATTAAAAATGAGAAAAATTAAATTAAATACATAGAGGAATTTTTTGACATTATTTAATCTTACAATTAAAACAAAAATAAAATAAAAATATATTAAATCACATTAATTAATGTATTTGCTCTCTTATTAATTTTGACTCTACATTCATCTAATTCTATTAAATTTAGATATTCTTTTTTATTGATTCTATTAAACATACATCTATGTTTAAAGATTTATTTTTGATATTGAATATTAATACTTTATGATAAGTTAGCAATAATAACAACAATACTTACGATTATTTATTAGAATGTTCCCCTGAATTAGTATTTAAATATGAAATTAGATTATTTATTAGTGATTTGAGATCTCTCAAATCTTAGTTTGTATATATTTGTTTATTTTGAGTATAATTGATTAAATCCTTATGTAAAATAACCATAGTATTAATCTCAATTTTACAATTCACATGATTAGGAATAAGTTCTAATTAATTACTCAAAGTTTTTATCAGTTATTATATCGAAGATTTACCTTAGAATGGAGAATGTTATTATTAATAGCCAAAATTACCACTTAAACTATTTGTTCTTTTAACCCTTTCAGTCTTTGGATTTCTGAACATAGTAAAATAATCAGAACCTTTATTGTCTTCAAATTAGAATTCAGAAACTTTCACTAAGTCTAAATCATAATTTTATTTATTTGATGTATTAGTTGAATGTGATTATAAAGCACTTGGAGTTCTACATGAATCATTATTACTATTTAGTTTTTGTTGAACATGATGGATTTTCTCCAAATAATTATTTAATTCTGATCTTTAAGTGTGAAATTTTGAATTTTAAGAGTTGCTTCTTTCTCTCTCTACTTTTCCTGGATTTTACTTTAATTTTTCTTTAAGATCCAAATAACTAGTAATCTATTTTTATTTTTCATTGATTGGAGTTTTATTTTCATATCTTTTTATTGTATTATTAGTAAGAAAAGCAGTATTACTAAAACTTCTATTATGTTTATTAATTTATTAACATAATGATTCAGTTCTTTATTTTATTCTAAGCATTTGTATTGAATACTTTGATTAATTATAATTTTGATTTTCCCTTTGAGTTGCAATTTAAGTATCCTCTTTAATTGTTGAAGTAGGAGACTCTTATTAATTATCAATTGTTTTTAAATTTATATTAACAGAATTAAATAGATCTTCCCAACTCCATCTTTTTTCTTCATTAATCTAAAGACAACCTTTAATGAGTTTCTTTGTGTTTTCTGAAACTTATGGATGTACTGGAAAAGATAAAGGCTAATTTAATAAAATTAATATAATTACTTTAGAATCCAATTTATTCATTAATTCAACAAGATTTTGAGAATGCCATGGAGTCATCCCATAAAGCATTTCATATAAAATTAAACCTAATGACCAAATATCACATTTGGAAGAATATTTAGTTCTTTTTAAAATTTAAGGACTCATGTATAATGGAGTACCAACTAATGAATTCATTATGGTATCTAGATTAGCATCAATTTATTTGGCAAAACCAAAATCAGTTATTTTGAATTGATTATCATGGACAAGAATATTTGCTGGTTTGATGTCTCTATGAATGATTCCAATTTTAAGTAGAGCCTTAATTCCTAATAATAAATCATTCATGATCTTGAGTGCTTCATCTTCAGGAATAACTCTAAATATATGAATATAGTACTTTCTATTCTTTATAAATTCCCTTAAATCTCCTCCATTACAATACTCAGTTATTATGTATGTATTATTTGCACTTTATAGTACATCCAATAGTTTAACAACATGAGAATCATTAATTTTCTTCATTATTTCAATTTCTGAAGCAATTAATTGATTGGCATAATCAGTAAGAAGTAATTTTTTGTCAATTACTTTGAGTGCAACAATGTTATCTATATTAGAAATGTAAATATACTATCTAAGGTATTTCTTCCAGCATAAACTGTGCCATAAGCACCTTTCCCCAATTTGGCTTTAAAACTGAATTAATAATTCTAAATTTTTTTATCAGGAGGGTAGCTGAGATGTTACATTTTATATTTTGAATTTGAAATATTTATTTAATGTTTAGAATTATATTATAATTTAAAATTTATGGTGAAAATAGTTTGATTGAATTAACTCATAGTTATTGATAACAATTAATTAATCATTTTTATCAATTGTTTTGAAATGCTTTCATAAGATTACCATTATTAATCAGATACATAAAATATTTTTTAATGATTTAATTTTATATATAAAATATATATAATGGCAAAGTTTTTCGAAAATATATGGGAAAACATACTTGTAATAGTCTTGGGAGTTTTGCCTCTAGTTTAAAATTTAGTTGGTTTAGTATGGAAGAAACAAAATAAAAGTAAGAACTCATGCATCTAAGGATAGACTATAAGGCTGCGTAGTTAAAATTTAAAGAAAAGAGAAATATTTTTATTTTGAATCTATGTTCAATTTACACAAAAATAGCAATTTTATGTATGTTTACACTTTTGTCAATATTACAAATAGTCATCAACACATAATTTCATTCAGAGTATATTATGTTATTTTTAACTAGTTATGTTTTGATTATAATTATAGAATTTTGTTAGATAATTAATTATTTGTTGACAGGATTACAAGTATTTGAAGATGCAGATAAATATGGATAAACAACATTTGTTACTCAATTCAATCTTATTGTATTTTATGGAATATCTATATAGTTGCAATTTTTATGTTTTTGTGGTTTTGCTATTATCTTATTTACTTGGTAGAATAATAATGTAGATAAATTTGTGATCAGACATGAAGACATTAGTTGTTGGTTAATGTTTATCTTAAGAGGAGTAGTCCTTTTATTATTTTCAGTCTTGGTGTTCTTTATGCCATAAGATAAAAAGCTTCTCTAAACTGTTGTATCAGAATACAAATACAAAAAATAAATGCTTGGTAATGATGAAGAAACCTAAATAAGGTAATAATTATTAACAAATGAATCCACTTTTACATTTTGTTAACCAGACTCTTTAAAATAATAAGAGATTACAAATATAGAAGTGAAATCTTATTAAGACAATAAGGATATAAATACATAAAGAAAATATATCATTTATGAAATTACTTTCAAATATCAGGGCAAACATAAAATAGTATTTAGATCTTTCAGTGATTTCTTAACATTTCATAGAGATTTATCATTAACATATCCATAAATAAAATTACCTTAATTTCCATAAATGACAAGATATCTCACTCCATAAGACATTGATAATAGAAGATAATAATTAGATTTATTTTTATAAGGAATATCTATACAATTTAATGATAATGAATTGCTGTTAGATTTTTTGAATGCTACTGGAAAGTGTTTACAATACAAACCAAGAATACCTTTACCATAACAATAACAATAGTAAAGACCAAAAAAGATTGCAACATAGTAATAATATTCAAAAGCAAAATCTATATAAAGTTTGATACCAGAAACTATTTGGGAAGGATAAAATGATGAAGATGAAGAGAGTATTGAAGTAGATACAAGAAAAACAAAGAAGGCTTCTACATATATAAAATTATAATTTGGAGAAGAAACACAATATTAAAGATTTAATAGTGCTAATGATCTTGATGATGATCATAGAACCTTTGATTATGAGAAGCCTTCAGATGGTATTAATATATATATGATATATTTTATAGATTAAATAGGCTTTGATTAATTTTAAGATAATGATCACTCTTTTGAAGAAGAAGAAAAACATTCATCACAAAATATGATGACAATGTAATGAGATTTATTTTGCTTTATCTACTATTTATATAAATATATTTATAAGAAAAATATATGAGACATAAACCTTAAGCTTAAGTTCCTTAATAGATATTGCCTTAAAAGTAGGCTAATACACTTAAACCTTGAGAAAGGTTTAGATGAAAATTTAATTTAAGTAGACCAGGATTAACAAATCATCAAATTAGAAAGGCATTCAATCTTTTTGATTCAGAAGGAACTAGAAGAGTAGATCCAAGTAAATTAAAGTTAGTTATGAAGAATTTAGATTTTGATTAAAAATTTCACTAATTCCCATATGATTTTGGAAATTGAAACTGAAGAATATTTAGTGCCAGATAAGAGATAGAATTGATATTGATTTTGATTAACTTTTAGACGAAACTAAATCTAATATAGATAATCAAGAATTGAGAGATGGAGTCCATAAAATATTTGATTAATTTGATGATTATGGAAGTAATAGCATTAATTTGAATAATTTGAATAAAGTAAAATGAGAATTGATAAGTTAAGTATCAAAAGAATTAGATGAGACTATGAAAGTTTAAGAATTAATTGAATTTTTGGAATGTGCAGCTTAAAATGGTAGAGAAATTAAAAGAAAAGTCTTTAATAATATCATGGGTTAAGGGGACATTTTGATATCCTTTGAGATAACATAATATATATTTATATATTTAATAATAAAATGATTAAATTGGAAGCACACACATTTTAAAATAAAAATGTATCTCAAACTATGTTGATAGAAGATAAATGTCCTATTGATATTATAAAGCAAAAGAAAATTATTTTCAGGAGAGAATAGATGAATGATGATTCTAACTTCTTTATTCAAGTATATAAAACAATCTAATTCAACAGACTGAAGATTCATAAGAAATCATTTCAATAAAACCTGACAATCCAGATTTTATTATGAATAACTTCACTAAAATAGCGATATAAGAAAATATGTCAGATTTCTAAGCTTTAGAATTTCATCATAGAGCTGCAAAATTATTAGAATTTTATACTATAAATTAGTATTTACTTATTATAACATAGAATATAAGTTTAATACACATCTGTCTTATTCTCTAAAATTAATTATGCTATTATGTTGAAGAGATATTAAGCATATGATGAATGCTTAAGTATACTATTAGATTGTGAACAGATTCTAAAAATTAAGGGGAAAACTTTAAAAAAAGGAACTTTTGATGCTATAGTAATGGCTAAGATAATATAAAATAAACTACTTAGATTGAGAGTAAAGTTTTAAATTACTTTGTTATTTTCTGAAATCAAAAGGTATTCAATACAATTTTTAGACAAGAAATAAGTAGGCTTTAGACATTGCAAAAGACGCTTTAAAATTGTTAAGGAGTATCATTTAATCTACAATAAAACTATGTTAACAAATAACTCTATTAAATAATGTTAATAAAAAATATAGAACAAATTCAGAAATAAATTCTCCAATTTAAAAGAATTCTTAATCACAGTCAGTTAGTTAACCTTAATAATAGGCTTAGACTTTAAGTTATCCATAAATAGTGGAAATTGTATTTAAAGAGATTTTGAATTCAATAAGAAGTATAATGCCTTATGATGATAAATCAAATGAAAGTGGTAGTTAAAATAATCTGTTAGTTCGCAATCATTAGAATAGAAGTTAATCTTTATTTACAACTGAGTAGATATTTTAGACTTAAATAAATAATTAATAAAATAAACTATTCACAATTATTGAAGATAATCATCCTATATTATAAATGTAAATTTTAGGATTGATGCAATTAACATATGTAGATTTAGAGGAATTATTTCCCATCAATAATTATGAAATGGTTATAGCAGAAGAAGTAATCTTAGAGTTGGTACTTCATTCTAGAATACATTATAGATTATGTTAACTGGCTTAAGTTTTTATAGTATATCAACTGAATTAAGATTCCTGAATACTCAACAAAATAAAATGAACATTGAAATATGGTTAGGAAAAGCCTTGGAAATATTTTATACTTTTGTTCCTCATTCAAGTTTAATATTCACTCAAATCTATTAAGTGTATCAAAAACTTTATGGAGTTGATAAATAATCAATAGTATTTTATTATAATCATTCAATTAGCCTGAAGATGAAGAAGTTGAATATCATACGAAATTATTAAAGCCTCATATCTTTAATAATAAAGCAACACTATCAAATAAAATTGTAATTGTAATCAAAGTTCCTATATTAAATAAATAAATTAAAGAGTCATTTAAAATGTCGAATCAACCTAATTCAACAATTATAAAATTATAACAAACTCTAACAGCCAAAAAATAAATACTATTTCCATAAAAACATTATGTTACTCAATAAGAAACTGAAAAAAAATTTGAAACATAATAATAAGAAGAATTAATAATTTCACCAAAATAATAATAACAATAATAATTATTTATAAAGAGAAACAAAATACTATAACCATAATTGGATATAAAATAAAGAGTAGATATATTAATGAATTAAATTTTAAATTAATAAGCTAAACTAACTTAAGAAAAGTTAAAATAGAAACATATACCTATTACTACTTTAAAATAAAAGTATTAAATTAGTAATAAAGTTTATGATCAACCAAAATTATTGAATCTAACAAATTCATAATAATTAAAAACTGCAATTCCAATTAGTAGATCATTGTCTAATTCTCGTAAAGCTAGTTAAGTTCATCTTTAAAGTTAAAATAATAATAGTGCAAAGACTGCTTAATTAAGATATAGAAATTAGATTAATACCTTACCTGGTGATGAACCTTCAAAATAAATTGCTTAATAGATTTCTATTTAAGTTGTTAGTTTAAATCGTTAATCTAATGTATTATACTCTTAATTTTAATAGAAATACTTTCTACTAAAACGAAGTGATTCTGCAAAAAAATCAAAAATACCATTTCAATAACGTTGAATTACTTATAAATATATTTAATATATGTCTACAGAAGCAGAAATAAAAGAATTTCTTAAAAAAAAAGACTTTTATGAGATTTTAGGAGTTTCTAAGACTGCTACAGATGAAGAACTTAAAAAAGCTTATCGTAAATTAGCTTTACTTTATCATCCAGATAAAAATAAAAATCCTAGTGCTAATGAGGCATTTAAGAAAGTTGCTTAAGTATATAAATAATATTACTTAGGCTTATGATTGTCTTTCTAATCAAGATAAGAGAAGAACTTATGATTAATATGGAACTGAAGAACCAGAATAACATTATCAGCATTATAGACAATAATGGGGAGAAAGTCCGGCTGAATAAATATTTAGAGCTTTCTTTTAATAAAATGGAGGTTTTGATGAATATTTTGGAAATGGATTTGGTACTGAATTTGGAAATGGTATTGGTGGATTTTAATTTTTTCAAACTGGTCCTGGAATGTTTTATTATTAAAATGGTCCAAGAAGACATCGTGGTCATCATTAATAACGTAACAGGAGATAAGAATATGAAGAATAAGAATTTATGAATTAAAGAAGATAAATGAATAGAGGAGTCAATTGGTTATAACTTACATGTTATATAATTTTTATTTACATTTTCTTTGGAAGTTCAATAGCTTAATTCTTAAATTATGTATTTTCTGAAAAACCTTATCATTAAACAATTAAAGATAGTACTTATCGAAATTTGTTAGAAACAGATGTATATATTTATGTATTGATAAATTAGATTTTGGGATAAAAGTTCTTTGCAAGAGATGAATATTTAAGGAAGGATGAATTGTTTAAAAAGAATTATGAAACAGAAATTGATAGAGAATATTTAGTTGAATTAGATAATTAATGTATAAAGTCTAAAAATGAAAAATAAAGATTATTGCATGAAGCAAAGAAATCATGGTTTGTTAGTACCTAAGAAAAATACTATAATTAAGCTAATTAAATTAGTATGGCTAGTTGTAATTAAATAAATGAATATCGAAAAAGTATTAAAAACTTTTCTCAGATTTTTAAAATATGAATAGTTTTGTGTACATTTATTGATATCAATTAATTGTATGTATATGAAGCAATTACTAATTATATAAAAATACTAAAATCAATTGGATTTATGAGGAGGTTGAAATTAAAATATTATTCGATCAGGTGATTCAATATCTTATTAATCAAATTCAGAATGACCAAAAAATATTTATTATTTTGCTAAAGGTGAACAAAAATCAAAACAGGGAGAATTTAAAAAACAAGGTGATTGATATTCATGACAATAATTTCTTTAAACAGGGGAAATCAAATCTTCATGTAGAAATTATTATTATTATTATTGTAATTTTTATTATTCTAATAATTCTTATTTAGATTATTCTATTCCTGTTAATGATTCAAATTTAATATTCATTTCACACTACTCCTTTTTATTTGATTGAATATATTACACTTATTTATCTTCTTAATCTTCATCTAAAAATATATCATTTTCTATATCAATTGCATTTTGATTCATTTTATGATTATAATTAAAAAAGTCATCTAAAGAGTCTTTTTCTTCAATTATAATACAATGTTAATTTTAATCATATTATTATGGTATTTTTCTATTTACTATTGAATTTATATGATTTAATTCAAGTTTATTGAATTCTTAAATATAACATTGATCTAAAAATTTATTCATTTTAGTTTTAATTATTTTATTTTTAAATTAAATTAAATTCTCAAGACTTTAATAAATATCGTTAATATATGTTCTAATAAATCTAATTTTTTTGATTTCTTATCTATTAAATGATTTAACCAAAGGTCTAATATTTTTTGATTAATATACAGATATACTAGTTAGACAATTATTAATTGTAAAAGATTCTGGGAATTTTCGATTTACTAATTTTGATAATTTTTCAAGTGAAAATGAAGAAATTGTAAAATTTTTATTATATGGTAAAGAAGCTTATTTCTCATAACAATTTAACAAAATATCATCAAATTCCTATTAATTTACATTTAAATTTATAGATGAGAATTATTATTATGCTTGTTTTTTCACATAATCAATAATATTTAATTGATTTTCTCTTATTGTTAATGATTCCCAAATGCTACAAACAATTTATTCAATTAATGTTTTTTTCTTTATTTATATATCATTATAACTAGATAGAATTAATTTTAAACGATCTTATTCTAATTTTGGAGATGGAAATCCTATCAATTATAAACATAATTATTGTTTTTCATAAATTTCTATTTTCTTTAAAATATCTTCAATTGATTTACACTTACTAGCTAAATATGTATGAATTCCAGTATCAAAACTAAATTTATCTTATATAATAAGTTGATCTTCATTTTTTGGTTCTGAATTTTAACTGTTTTCTTAACTAATATTATTTTCTGAATCAATATAATTCAAGAAAGTTGATGGAAAATAGCATTTTTCAGTCTATTTTTATTTCTTCTTTTACTTTTTAGTTCTACAATCTAAACTACCTTAATTTATTGTTGTAAAAGTTTTAGCAGAAGTTTTAGTTTCTAAATATGATATTGAATTCTTTTCAGTTTAATTATCTACATCATTTAGATATCTAAATCTATCTTCTTATTTTATACTATATTTATCACTTAACTATAAATCTATATTTATTATTTTATCTAGTTCTCCAGATAATTAATTAAAACTGTTAATTATATCAGTTCCATCATTATAATCTTTTGATTCAATCATAATAATCAAATTTCGAAATTCTTCCAATTTATCTATTATTGATTAAATGTATTTTCTCATCCTCCTCACATTTTTTAAATCAGTGATGTTACATAATTATTTAAAATCATCCATAGATTTTGCATCATAAACTTAACAAAAGCATTTATGTTGTAAACTCCTCAAAAACATAGGCATTGGACTCTCTAACAAAGCAAAGAAATTAGCATATTCAAACTAAGTATAAGGTATTTTACTATAATAGGGATTACAATATCGGGATTCAAAAAGTGATTCGATTTCCTATTCCCATTCCTTGTTACTCCATTCTATTTTTATTCCTTTTATTGCTAGGAATTATTCAACCCTATTTCTTATGGTTTATAATCTAGTCTCTTGATCTTCTATGCTGGTAACTTCACCTATGAAGCTTATTAACACTCTAATCATTCGTTTCTATTCATTTTCATTTTATTCCATTATCCCATTAAGATAAGAGAATATTTGACTACTGTCTACTTGTATGGTTGGAAAACCAAACAAACAAACTAGTTGTCGTTTTAATAAGTTCATATTGCACTTCTCTATTATTCTTTCTAATAGTTATTTCTCAGATTCTTTATAATCAACCTCATATTCTGCAGAATACCAATTCTGTTAATTCTCGAAATCAAACATATCATCCTATTCAGACATCAATTTATTTATAAATTATATTAATAATTCTAACATCACTATTTAAGAGACACTGTTAAAAGCAACCAGAGATTATAACTTGATTAAGAAAGTATTCATTACTTTCTCTATTTATAATTTATAGAATCTTTGATCAATCAAGAGAATAGCATAATTTATTATTAATTAAAATTTGTGAAAATTAAGGTTTAGAGTAATTATTGAATTCTTTCATCAATATTTTTGCTTTTAATAAAGTTGAATTTTACATGATTTCAATTAAATCGATTCATATATAGATAATATAATCCATTTATATTTATATTAACAATTAATTAGTTATATGATAAAAATATTAATCTATATGATATAAACTATAATTATATATATATCTCATTTTTTTTAATCTTAAACTTTAATATGTTTAATTAACTTATTTTAAAAAAAGTTCTCCAAAACATCAAAATATTATATTGAAGATTTATTCTCAGATGTTTAATTTATCTATTTTTCATTCCTTTCTTTACTCTCAATTACACTTTAAGAATTATCATCATTTAAGTTCTATTACTTTGTAGGTTTAAAATATTCTAATAGAGTTTTTGATTTAAAAACTTTTATTTGAATTGTTTTCTTTTATTATAATTGATTATCAAGATTTTATTATCCATCTTAAGATTAATTTTAAATTGGATCTTCTCTATTTTCATCTTTTAATATATTGTTTTCTATTTATTTAATAGTGAATTATGGTAATATTACTGGTTTGAGTTAGAGTACCTTCATCTTATTCAAATAATATTCTACTGATAAATCCTATAATTAATTTCCTATTAAATGTAATTCCTCTCTAGAATCCCTTTAAACTTTTAATTATCCAATTTTATTTAAGGCATTCATTATGCGACTTAAATATTCTCTTATTAATCTGATATTATGTAATTCATTTTCATTAACCAACTCTTTTAAATCAATTCCCTCTTTGGTTTATAATGGAAAGTTCTGGCAAAACTAATGTAACATTTACATTTTGCTCCATTTACTTATTTAAGTAAATAAACTTAAAGTTTCAAATAGAATTTTATATTTTTCTATTCCACTTAAATCTCTCTTCATCTATACATTAGGCATTTGCTAATAAGGAATTACAATCAAAGTTTTTTTAATAAGCTTTTTCCATTTATCATCTGTCCATTCAAGTTTGATATTACATTCTTCTAAATATTATTCAATTTATTTTTAAATTATATTTTCTTTTGTTTCTATATTTTATATAACTTCATCACCACTTTCAATATATCCTTCACCAATTGCTCCAATTAATTTAGATATTACAATTTCATCATTCAATTTAATTTCATTCTGATATTTTTCAATATACTACTTTATTCTATCATTATTTAAATTTATTGTTGGAATTCCAATCTCAGTGAGAATTGTAAATTTAGCATTATAAAAGTTGATTTTTTGATTAATTATATCCTCTACTTATGTATCTATCCTTTATTATTCTTTATTTGTTTAATTTTTTTATTTTGTACTCTATTTATTTTTTTTTTAATTTTAATTCCCTTTTTTATCAATAGATTATTATTAATTTAACTTATCTTTCAATTAAGATTCCTTAGGTTAATCAACTTAAGATTTTATAATCTTTTTTTTCAATGAATTTTTTTGTTTCCTTAGAGATTTAGTTTTAATGATTTTTACTGATAAAGTTGAATTATTACCAGCCATTTTTCTATCAATACTTAAATATCTATTACCTTCCTATATCATTTTAACCTTGCTATTTCTTTGATCTAAGCTTCATTCTTTATATTCTATTTCGATTTTTTAATCCTTTAACTTTATTTGATTTTTGACCTCCATTAGATTTCATTTTTAATTATTTAAATTAATTAAATTACTATTGTATGTTGCAGAATACTTTATTGGTCTATTAAAGAGAAAAATAAATAAAAAATTGAAGAATATAATAGAAACTTAAAGAATTTAAATACTTTGAAATATTCTTCTTTTAGAATAAGGTGAAATCAAATTAATAATTTAAAAAAGAATAATAATTATTCATTGAATTTAAATGAATATTTATTATTTTATTTATAAACTCTTTGAAATTAATATGAAAAGATATTTAAAATTGTTTTTATCATGATTAAAGAAACACAAAAACCATAGGTTTAGAAATATAAATATATTAACAGTTATTGTATATTGGTTTAGAACAATATTTAATATTATTATTATAATTATAAATATAATAAACAGTCAATGTTCAGGAAGCAGGATTTCAAAAAATTAGAATTGTTAGGTTCAGGTAAGAAGCATACAAAGATTTATCGAGTTTAACACATACAAACAAATAAGATATATGCTTTAAAAGAGATTGAAGCAACTAATTTAGAGAAATTGAATGAATACAAAGAGGAAGCAGTTCAACTCAGTAAAGTTTAAAATTGTGGAAATGTGATTCGATTTTATGGATATTACTTTGCTGAAACTCTGTATAATACATTTCGTTTAGGAATCATAACAGAGTATTTATGACATATATTTATTTAGGTATATGGATCACAACACAAATTTGGAAAATCTTTATAGGAAAAGAAAGAAACCTAATTAGTTTTGGAAAGAAAATGAATTAGTAACTATGTTATTTAGCATAATATCAACATGTTCGTATTTGCAATAAAAAGGAATTTGTCATAGAGATATAAAACCAGCTAACTTATTTATGATTACAAATGGGGAATTGAAATTAATTGATTTTGGTGAAAGCAAGGATTATTTCTTTGATTTAGATAATGAAGCTAAAAATACATACACAATGGCAACTATTAGAGGGACACCTTAATATTTATCACCTATTTTATGGAAGGCTCATGTAATTGATGGGAATAGTAGATATGTAGAACATAACATTTATAAATCAGATGTATTTTCAACTGGGTTAGTTATGTATTAAATGAGTGCAATGTAAGAAGTGACTGGATTCAATAATACTTAATCAAATGAAGGTGAGTAATTAATCTTATAGAGTTTGGCTTAGTTAGAATAAAAGTATAGTCCTGCTTATGTATCTATAATAAAATTAATGTTAATTTTTGAAGAGGCTTAAAGACCTTCATATGTTGAGATTGAGCAATTATTTATAGAACATGAAGAGAAATATAATTCAGGAAAGATATCAGAGAATGTAGCTATAAATGAATACATTTTATTATACAATTAGCATTATAATACAATGTTAAAAAGAGGACCTCCATATAGAACATCATAAGAGGCTGATGTGTAATTTAAAAATGTGATTATTCAACATATGAAAAATGGAGGTTCATCTTAAGTTATTGAACAATCTCAAAAGTCAAAGTAACCATTAAGAGAGTAGCCATCTTCTTAGAAATAACAATAGATATCTTAATAATAATAATAATCTTAATAAGTATAAGTTATTAAGTAACCAGTTGTATCATAATCTGCTTTTTATAAGGATTCTACTTTAATATTGAATGATTCTTGTTTATGGTTTGAATTTGGAGGTAAAACAATAAGTAAATTCTCTACTTCAAAGTAAAAATGGCGTTAAATTGCTAAATTGGATGTAGAATTAGATAGATAATTTACTACACTTTTTGTTCCTGATAAAAAAGCATTTTATTTAATAGGAGGATTTCAAGAGACAAATTTTCGAGTCTATTAAAATGATAGATTAGAATTAATGAAACATTAAATTCCAATGAATAGATTTTTCTGTTCTTGTCTCTATTATAATCAAAAAATCTATTGTATTGGAGGATATGATGAATAACATAAGATTTAATTATCATCAGTTTTGTATTATGATCTTATTTCAGAGAAATGGGTTTAATTAGCTGATTTAAAATAGCCAAAAAGTTAAGCAGCTGCATGTAGAATAAATGATAATGAAATAGTATTATTTGGAGGGTATAATAAAGAAGAAGGAACATTAGATAATATAGAAAGATACTTAATAAATGAGAATAAATGGGAGAAATGTAATTTGAAATTACCATTACCTTTAAGAAGATTTATGGCAGTAAGAGTTAAAAAGAATTTAGCTTTATTGATAGGTGGTTTAACTATGTATGCAAAAGAAAGTTAAAAAGTATTGAAAGTGGATTGGGAGAAAAAAGAAATAATAGAATGTGAACCTTTAGAGAAAGGTATTAAATGTATTTATATAATATTTAGGTGGAATTGTTGAAAGTGAAGTACTTCTTGATAATGAAGGCAATTTACATATTTTTCTTGAAAATGCAAATGGTACTTCACCACATGCTCATATCAAATATTATTTTGATCCGAATGCAACCAAATATGAGACAAAAGCTGATTGATAATTATTTAGTTAAAGAATTTTACACTATCATTAATCTTACAAACTTTTTTTCAAATATTGATTTAAAATGCTTTGAGCAAATTCTTAATGATCACGATCATAGTTATGAGTATTAGGTCTTATCGAATATGATATTATTTGCTTTCTATTTGGCTTTTAATCTTATAAATCAGTATCACTATTAAATCTTCTATTGATCTTATTCTAAAATAATTGAGGTTTATTGTTATTCTAATATTATCTCTTTCTTGTAGATTATGCTGTTTAAGGAATCTTAATTTAAGAATAATCAATAGAAATTTTTTGGTTCTCCTCTTTCTCCTTCTCTTTTTCTTTAAAATTAAATTTCAATAAACTCAATTTTCTTTCTAAAAATTAACAATCCTTTTCATCTTCCTTTTTGAATACCTTTTTTATTATGGCAAATCTATTTTTTTATTCACCACCTAATTTAAAGAAGGGTTTGAAATTATTTGTTTGATAAAATGTTTAATTATGCTCTCTTATTTAATTACAATCACTAAACCATGTGATTTCATTTTATCTAGTACTACTTTTACTAGATTAAATTTTTGGAGATCGAAGTGGATATATTAAGTTATTTGTTTAAATTTTCATTGGATAACGAAAATGCTTTATTAAAATTCCTCTTCTTTTTGGAGATTTTGATTAATCCTATTCTACAGTTCCTTCGACTGGATAATTAATTAATTGTAAAATCATAATAACAATAATTTCTACTATAAATGCAATTTATATAAGTATGTGTATTATTGTTATTAAATAAATCTCATTATTTATTCTTATTACTCTATTTTACAAAATAATTTTTATAGATAAGTTATTAATACTTATATGAATATAAAATATATTTCTATTATATACTACTAAGATTTATATTAATTTAATTAATACAATCAATACTATTTTTTAAGAAAGTATGGATGATTAAAAGCTTAATGAACATCTAATCGATCAACTTAATTATAAGCTAAACAACCTCTAATAAATTCTTTGCATTCATTTGAAATGATTGGTTTTTATGGAAAAGTAACTGTTTGTGATTTGATTATAATCTAATAATCTATATAATATGATTACTTATTCTTTTAATATCTTCTCTTAACTCAATCCTTATCCAAATGGTTTTTAACCAAAAAGCATTTCAAAAAATATGACTCCTATACTCCAAATATCAACTTTGCTTGAAATACTTGGTGGTTAATCACCCATATGAAAACATTCTGGAGGTAAATACCAATATGTTCCTACTCCTTAGGATGTTAATTATAATTTAGAATTGTCATCTTCTAAAACTTTACATAAACCAAAATCTGATATTTTTAAATCATTTTAATGAAATAAGATATTCTATGGTTTAAGATCATAATGAATAATTTTATTTTTGTGATTATTAAGATATTTAATTGCTGAAATGATCTAAGATATTAATAATTTGGCTTCCTTCTCTGGAAATGATTTATATTTCTTTATATAATAAGATAAATCTGGTCCATCACATAATTCTAAAACAGTACAAAATGATGTTTTATCTATTTCAACAGAATCATAAAGTTTAACAATATTTTAATGATTAAGCTCTTTATGTACACCATTTTCTCTAATTGCATGTCGTATATAATTTTATTTGGCATGATCAGACCAATTAGAATTTAATTAATGTATTTTACATGCAACCTCTTTGAATTCTTATAAATCAAAAGCCTAATACATTAATAGTTTATTACTTTATAAACTTCACTAAATCCACCTTTACCTAATAGTGATAATATTTAATATCTTGATCCAATTAATGGGTAATCATTATTCTTAGTAAATCTTGCATGTTCTTCTTCATATAATCTTTTCATATGTTTAATGTGTAAAATCTTTTCAGTTTCTAATCTATCAATCTTTTCTTGTATTTATTATTCTTCTTTTGCTATAAAATTCAATTTGACATTTATTGCTCTTATTTCAGTTTCATCTTTATTCTTTGGATTTTTCTTTTTGTTTTCTAAGTCTTGTTTTAAGTTTTCAAGATTTTTAGCTTATTCTTTTGCATCTTTAATTTCTTAACCTTCTATCCAAACATCAATAACATTTATTTTTTCTCTTTAAAGATTAAACTCTCCTAATCTAAAACGATTATTTTTAATTTATATTTGTATTTATTGTTTTTTTAGTTTTTCATTATCGATGGCTAATAATTTCAGTACTTCTTGCATTTTAGATTATTAATCTGTAAGAGTCTTCATTTAAGTCTAGAATAAATACAGAAATTGTCTCCTTTAATTCACAATTCAAAGTCTCAAGCTCTTTAATTCGTATCTCTTATATAACAATTTTGTTATGTTTATCTTTTAGTTACTATTCAATGGCATGATCATTTGGTAATGTAGTCTTGTTCTTAAATGGAGAATCTTATATAGTATATTCAATAAGTTTCTATTCTCCTTTGGTAACTTTTAATTATTTTTTTTATGCTTGTAAATATTGAGTAATCTAATTATTTTTAATAAATTAACATCTTTTTATTAGGTTTCTTTTGTTTTCTTCTTTTTTTTCTACTAAGAATTTTTGGTCACATAATTTGTTTTCTTATGAACTGGACTCATAACTTAAGATATGACAATGTTATCAGGTGAAATTTCACTTTAATTGGAACATTTCAAATCTTCATGTTTTTTATTTGAATCAGTATTAGGTTGATTATTATCATTTTCATCATTTTATTTGTTTTTTTCTGTTTATAGATATTATTCTTAGATAATCTCTTCTTTTGATTTCTTATGTATTCTGGCCTCTAAACATATTAGTCTGTCTAATTATTCTGGCGGTAATTATTGATGCATAATTTATAATTAATAATATTAAATGAGCACAAAAATATATAAGACATCTAATAAAAAAGGATTGTAATAATTATAACAGTTAAAATATTTGAGATATAAAGTAATTTGATATAAAATAATAATTTTTTTTATATTTAATAGATTCAAGCAGTTGCATTTCCATTTTCTAAATAATGTTTTTTCTATATCAATATTACCTCTTCTAAATGTTGTCTATTATAAATATAAAAGTAATACTAATCAAAGAATTTGCCTGCATACATCAATACATCATCTGGTTTCTCCTCCAATACTCTAAATAGGAAAATGCTTAGCATAACAGATAATTCTGGATGTTTTCTTAAATAGATTTCATTTGCCATTCTAAATTATACTTTCTTCTTTTCCAATTCAACAGCTTAACTTGTTACTAAACCTGGTTAACCAGCAATATCATGTGGATTAATGTATTTTTCTTTATCATACATATTACGAATTTAGTAATCATAAAATTCATTTACATGTTCTTTTTCTGATTGATTTGTGATATTAGTATCATTAAGATGATCAAATGACATTAAAATTGAATAATTAAATTAATAATGAATTTTTAAAAACAAATATTTTTGATATTCACAACTGTTCTTCTATACTTAGCTTATAATAATGATTAAGGATTTGAAATTAATTCAAAAATAGGTGTGTTAGCATCAATGATATTTATTGGAATTATAGGTTCATTCAAACCAAGTGATCCTTTTTAATATGAAGCCATTTTTAGAATATAATTATGGTTATCAATCACATTTATAGTCATCTTAGTCTTTTTTAGCATTTTAAAATTAGAAAGATGGTAATTCAAATAATTTAAGCTAATGATTTTAGGAGATAATAGATTATGTAAGCCTGTTACTAAGGATATGCATACAAATGATGATAATTTAGATCATTATTATTGATGTCATGTAATCAATTGATTATTGGCTACATTTATTGTTAGAGACTTTTGGTTTCTCAATTTTTGGTCGATCTTAGATGAAATTATTGAATTATCTTGGTAACATAAACTTCCACATTTTAGACAATGTTGGTGGGATCATATATTATAGGTGTATTTATTAAGTAATACAATAACAATTATTATTGTAATGATAATTATTAAGAAATTTATATTTGAAAAATATAGTTGATTTACTAAAGATACATTTAATAATCCATAAAAATTTGAAGTTGTTTTTCTTGTTATTATTGAAATAATAGGAAACTTTTTTAAATTATTTCTTTTTAATGAATTAATAATGGGTACCTCCAAAATGTTCGATGATTATCTATAGACTATTAATATGGTTCTTGTTGGGACATTCAGAATTCAGAGAACTTCATAATTCAATATCTGATTAAGATCAATAATATCAATTAAGATATCTAACCTTTTTTATTAAAGATATTTAAACATTAATATCTATTAAATTTCTCTCTGATTATGATAACCTACAAGATGAAGTTACTCCAATCTATATTTGATTATTTTTGTTGATTATTAGTAATGTATCTTTTATTTGGTGGATTAAATTAAATTTGAAATAAATAGAAATTTATACAAGAGTAAAATAGGTACAGAGTTAATAAAAGAAAGATTGAAAATAATGTTTATATAATATTTTAAATAAAAAAGGTTTTATTTTAAGAATATATAATATAAAAATAATTAAGAAAATGAAAAATAATTTGAATCTATATGCACTATTTGCAATGTAAAAAATATTATATATAATGAATCTATCAGATTCCTTGGAGTGATCCTCTTATTTAATAGAAGGAAAAATGAAATTACATCAACTTATTTAGGTTATGCATTAATCATTGGTGGATTTAGGTACAATATATTATATATTATTAGTTGGTTTGCTTACTCTTCAAAAGCATTACTTCTATTGATGGTATTACAACTATTTATATTTTAGTATCAAAAATTTATTTAAGAAGAAGTTAATATCCAGATTCAATAATAAACTAAATAAATTTAGAAAAATTAATCAAAGAAAAAATAATAAATTAAGAATGAGAATTTAACTAAGAATCCATCATAATAATATTCAACAACTTAAGAAGCTGAGATATCTTATTAATAGAAAGAATATTAACAATAAAAGGAAATCAAGAAGGAAACTCAAAAAGTAGTAGATTAAGAAAAATAAACTAAACCAAAATAAGAGGATGGACAATAACAGAAAGTCAAAAATGTTAATAATTCTTAAATATAATCATAATAATAGAGTTAAGTTAAGAAAGAGAAGAAATAATAGTAGATTAAATAACCATTATTATAATAATAAGAAAATGATGATAATGATGATGAATGGGTTGAAGTTGGAAACAAAAAGAAATAATTGAATCGTCCATAAAAAAAGGAAGAAGAGATATCAATATAACAATAAAGTAAAATCATATTATCATTTAGATCAATAACCATAAAAGAATCAAGTGATTTAATAATAATAGATTAAACCATAAATCTAAACTAATAAATAAGATCCTCATAAAGTTGAGTTAATTGAATCTAATAAGACTTAAAATAAAAAAGAGAAAAAATAAAAATAAAAGATTGAAGAACCAGTTGAGGAAGATGATGATGAATGGATTTCTGTTGAAGTCAAATAAAAAAAGAAAAATGTTAAGGCTGATGTTGAATAAATTACTGATAATACTTAATAGAAGAGTAGAGGATTGTTTACAAAGGAAGAATAAAAAAAATTGAAAGATGATGCCAATTTAATAGAAGAGACACATAGAAAGAGAATTTAATTAATTGATGATTAACATCATTTTAAATAAATCTCTAGATTAACATAATATGAAATAAAAAATGCTGATTAAATACTCAATAATTAGAATTAAGTGCTTGTACCAAAAATTGAATTAAAAATTCCTGATATATAACCTAAAAATTATACTAGAGAAGAAATAGATAAATTAGTATAAGCTAAAATGCCTAAACCTAAAAATATTGTATCTAATGATGTGTTTATTGAAAAATCTGAACCTATTTAAGCATAACCAAAAAAAAATTAATAAGTTGATAATAAAGTCTTGAAATCAAAATTCACTCTATTTAAGCCAGCATAATTGGAATAAAAATAGAAGGAATAAATTATATATACAGATCCATCAATCAGTTTCATTATTAATAAGGATAAATAAAAATCATTCTTCTCTGATCAAATAGAGTTAACTACTAATACATCTGGAAAAGAATTGTTTGGAAGAGTTAAAAGATATAGAAGACCTATTTAAGTTAAGAATAAATCAGATACAAAGCAAAATAAGAATGATTTGGTTAATTAATAATTTATAGCAGATAATAATGATAACTTTGAACCTATACTTTAGGATTAAGTTAAAGTAATATTACCTGGATATCAAACATTGGATATAGAAGGAAGAAATAAATTAATAAGAGATTCGGTGCCAGTATTATATAGATAAGATTTTGAAAATGAGAATATTTTAGAAGAGGAAACAGTGACTTTAATTTTAGGTGGAAGTTAAGAAATTATTCATTAAGAATACATTTAGCTTTTAAATAGGTTTAGAGAACTTAGAAGAAAGAGTTTACAGGAAAGAAAATATGAGGAATATATTAATTTAATAAAGTAAATGGATGAAGACATTTATTAATTATCATAGAAGGGGATTCATATTATTATATAAAGTTTAAATATAGTAGAGGAGGATTATCAAAAGGCTTTTTTATTTTATTCTTAGTAACCAGAATTTGTTTCACAATTAGCATTCTTTTAGTAGAATCTTAAAGATATCTTACCTGCAAAATTTCAACTTAATAAATAATAGGGAATTGAATTGATTAAATATAAGATTAATATAATTGAACATCATGAAAGTAATTAATAATTTAGTTCGGTTATGAAATTATTTAATAGTTAATAAGATAGTAATAATATAGAAATCATGCCAATTCTCTTGAATTCATTAATCGATGATATTATTTATTAGAAGTTTGGTTATGAGGAGGAAGATAAGATTCGATTTATGAGTATATTTAAATTCTTATTATTATTAGAATTATTCAATTAGGATTAGGAGATTAGAGAACTTTAATTGAAATTAGATGATTTGGTGGAAAACCTTTAAGGAGTGAAATAAAGTTGAGTATTGATAGATATATTTATCATTGATAATTTAATTATGCTTTGACATTCTTGATTATTAATAATATAAAAAATTATAATGGACAGAGCGGGTTAAGGTTAAAACAAGCAACTCCTCCATTATGGATGTTTGGTTTATTTAATATTCAAGGATGATAATGGACAAGAGTAGAACTATTTGTTTATATAATTAGATATCTAGTTACAGCAGATGGGTATACAAAAAATAAGATCCTTTTGAAAAAGAAAGAAGATGTATTGAAGTATTCATCTATTTCTTCTTGTTTATTCAAAATATACCCTACATTTTATAATAATGAATATTAGAAGGCTTTGAAGGTGAAGGAAGAGAAAGGAAAAATAAAGAAATTTTCAATTATTGAAATGAGAAGTAATGTTTATTTTATAATTTATTAGATGCTTAATTGGAGATACCTAAAAATATAAAAGCAATGGAAGATGAAACTACTTTGAATCATGAACAATATGAAAAATTTAAAGGTTCTCCAGTTGTTTTTGGATAAACAATATAATTGTTACATATAAACTCAAACAAATATTTGTATTATGATTCAAATCATGTTTCAGAAATTGAAAGCAATAATTTGAAACTTAGTTTAATTGATGAACATTCTGATGAAACATGTTATAGAATCACTCCTTGCTATACATTTTAATAGGAAGGATCAGGCAATATATATCATGAAGATATAGTTCACATAGTTTCCACTGTGGATTAAACTAAAAAGATAGGAGGTGAACCTTATCTACATGCTTCTAGACCCAAAATATGTATAAAAAATAATTAATTTTATAGTTGATACAAAATCATCAGCTTAGAAGGAAAAAAGAGAAGTGAATATTTCTACAGAGAAAAAGACACCTTGGAAAGTTAATATTTTTGCTGAATATTTAGATGAAAGAGAAGGTTTCTTGAGTATTTAAGATACTGTATGGATCAATTATTCAGAATAAGATGTAATTCTATTTATTCTATTTCCAATAGCTCAATCTTATTGCTATTAGAGATTAAATCAAATAATAGGTACAACATTAAAAATCAGAATTACATATATTCTTTGAATAATGTACTTAATCTGCCAATTATACTAAATTTGTTGGTAATTCAAATGGTTTGTTTACAATTGAAAGTGAGTCTATGTTTTAGGGAGGATTAGTTAAGTGGGATACACCTATGATATCTTCTTCTTATAGACTTAGACATTTAACTACAAAGAAATATTTGAAAGTTATAGAAGAAAAGAAAGAAGGTGAAGATAAATCTAGATTTTTGTTAACAAGTGTATCAGATTATTAAAAGGCTTCTTTGTTTCATTTTGAATTGATCTTTTCAACATTGACTACTTACAATAGAGAAAAGGCTTAATTATATTTATAGAAAGATAGTTATTTTAGAGCATCTACATATGTTAGTTAGGATTAAGTGTGGTTAAGAACTGAATCAATATAGAATGATGAGGAGAATAAGGATATTTCAAAGGAGAAGAAAAAGAGTGTTCCAGCATTTAATAAAGTAAAGAAAGAGGAATATGTATTTAAAATAGCTAAGGCAAATTTTAATGAAGTTAGAATGACTAATTTTTTGCTTTCTTGTTTGAAGACTATAAAAGGAGCTTAATAATATATGGATGTATCATTTTTATCAGCAGACATTAAAGATGAAAAATTTTAGAAATCTTATAAAGGTTTTGTAGCTCATATGTAAAGATTAAGTAAATGTTTATCTGAATTATAACTATTTTGTCATAATAAGTTGATTGCATATTTATATATAGATTAAGAATTTGGATAAATTAATCATTTCATATAGAATGTTCTTAGGGAATAATAATTTATAGAATTATTGGTTAAGATTCTATGTGTGTCATTTCCTGATGTATCAACATTAGATACTTTGAGATCAATAGAGAAATCAGAATCTATGGATAAGACTAAAAAAAGAGTTGTTGATGAAAGTAGTAAGAATAGAGATTCATAAATAAAAAAAGAATATTATAATAGTAAAAAGAAAATATGTTCATTAATATATTAATTACTTGATTGTATTTGTCAATCAAATATAGTAAATTAAGAGTAAGCATCTAGATATATACCAATTTTTGCATAATAAAGTGTTTATATTGATGATGGTTTAAAATGTATTGTTTAAATTATCAGAGATCATGAAGATTTGCTTTTAAAATTACATGAATAAGTTAATGAAGATGATGATATGCATTAATCATTTTAATAAGAATAAGAAATAGTTATGGCAAATCATTCAAATGCCTTTTAATAATAATTAACAATTGAAGATTATAGAAGATTGTATGATTAAATAATCAAAAAGATTTTAAATGAAGATCATTTCTAATTAAAATCAAGATGGGATCTTTTGTAATTTTATACAAATTTATTAAAAGAGAAATCTACATCAGCTGAAAAAAAGAGAGATATTATATCATTTTTATAATTTGCATCTACTCATAGAGGCAAAGGTTTGAATGTTAATTAAGAAGGTATTTATAGATGTTTGATTGATGCTTATGATAGAGATAAAGTATTTAAAGATGAAGTTTTAATTAAATTTGAAAGATAATAAAAGATTATTAAGATATTTGTTAAAGGAGAAGAGAAAAACTTTGTGGAATTCTTTACAAAAACAGATAAAAAGAAATAACATTTTTAAGAAGCTGATGGAGATGAAATAGGTAAATCAAAATAATTAAATAATTTCTTAAAAAAATAAACAGTTAAAACACCTTCATAAGAATTAAAACCAAAATTAATATTATCTTTAGTAACTGAATAATTAGAATTCTATATTTCAATGTGTAATACAAGAAATAATACTTGGAAGAGATTTGTTGAATAATTTTTACCATTTGATGTTTTAATTGATCATTTAAAAATGGGAGATATTGGTTATGATATGAGATCTATTATATGTAAATTAATGAATAAGGTTTATTTGGATTAAGAACCTAGAAGAGAGATAGTATTTCCAGAATTATGTAAAGTAGTTATTACAGATGGTGATAATGCATAAGGAATATTAGATGAAGAAGAAGGAGGATTAAAGATATATTAAGATTATAAAGATGGATTATATTAATTTATTAAGGATTGTGGATTAAATGTAGAAAAAATGTCATCAAATTGGGATATTAAATTTGGTGAAGCTAAATAGAGAGAAACTCTTAAAGAGATATCAATTTAATGTCCTGAAACTTATAATAGATTAACATTAGAAATGATAAGATCACTTAAATTATTAATTACATTTGGTTAATATAGAATTTAATTATGTAATACTCCAGATGAAACTACATAAAAGAATGAGAATTTCTTTAGTATTATAAAATATTTATTTACTATTTTGGAATTTGATCCAAAATATCCAGAATCAAGAAAGATTTTATAGATAAAAAGAGAGGAAGATAAATCAAAAGGAGCTAATTAAGGTGGATAATAAATATTTGCAAATGCTTTGAATATTTTTGGTAAAATTGGTGGTTTAATTAATGTATTTTCTTTAATTGAAGATAAAGATGCAGGTAAGGATAAAAAAAAGAAATAAAAGAATATTTAATTTGAAAGTGGACCTTTGAATATGAATGAATCATTTTTGAAATAAGCTGATGTTTTAAAAAAGATATTAATAAAAGTTTTATAAGAGTCTTCTGAAGCAGATCAATAAATAAAATTAGAAATTTGTGATATTTTAAATCAATATCTTGATTAAAAAATGGATTATTGTTTAAATTAATTTAAATAGAAATTTAAGGATTATGTTACAAAACATCTTAAAATAATGTCAAGATTAGAAGATGGATCATTAAATTTAACAGTTGAAGCTGATCGTAAAAAGATTGAAGAGGCATTTTAAGGAGCAATTAAAAATTAAATAAAAGCTTTAATACCTTCAATATTAAAAACAGGAACAGATGCTGATAAAAGAGGATAACCAAAAAGTGAAAATTTTAATTTAGGATTTGGTTTAGATTTAGCTCAATTAGCAGGAGGTGGTGTAGAAGTATTAGAATAATCAAAAGAAATAGATGCAATAGATATATGTACAATATTAGGATTTGAAATATTTCCAACATTAATTAATTTATTTTGTATGAGTTAATCTTTGGATATGTAAACAAAGATTCTAAACATTTTGACTAGATTTTATAATTAAAGAGAAGAATTTGCTGATTTAGTATCAAAAATATTGTTACTTTTTGATAGTTAAAATATTAAGATATTTAGTGATTTAAAAAAGAAAATGAGATAATTAGCTAAGAATATTGATGAATCTGAAACATGGATTAAAGATCCAACATTACCTGATAATGAAGATATCTTAACTTAAACTATAAAATATTTTGAATTCATAAATAATTTATTATATAAAGATTCAACTTTAGAAGATGATAATGTAAAAGTTACATAAAGAATTTTGATTGATGAATTTAGATAGTCAATTATGAGAAATTTAAAAGTACATGATATGTGTGTTTAATTAATAACAGATTGTATTGGAGTAACTGAAAAATAATTTGAAGGTAGAACAAGAAAATTAATATATGAATTATTTGGTAATATCTTTTTATTGTTAAAGAATTTTACTTTAAATAATTCAACAAATTAATTATTATTGAGTGAACATCTTAATAAATTATAAATGAAAATGGAATTGAATTTAGGACAATTAGATTTAATTAATGAAATATTTAGAGATAATAAGAGAATATGTATTGAAAAACCAGGTACAGTAATAGATAATATAAGAAAATTAATAAAAACTAATGGTAGATAATCAAGATTCTTAGAATTCTTTATTTTAATTTAAAAAGTTAAAAAGGAATTTATTCTATCAAATTAAAAAGGAGTTCTTAATATGCTTTTAGATCCAGCTTATAAGAGTAGTATATTTTGGTTGAAAGATAGATAAGCTTAAGTAAATGATAAGAATCAAGCTTAAGCATCTATAAAACATGAATTTGATTTT